GTCCAATGACATCTCACAAACTCTATACCCTCAATATATTTTTCTATGTCCTCTTTGAAAACATTTGTATAGTTAAGATATAAAACTTTTGACATAAGTGTTTCAATGTCATGAACTCTTATAGCACCACTATATAATAGTCTAGCAGATATACTATCCCAGTCTATATATTCTGCTTTCAAAACCTCTCTCACAATATTTTTCTTATCTAATGGTATACGTTCCATCTTACCTATAGGTATCTTTTCTTTCAACTCACTCAATATTTTGTTTTGTGTCTGGTATATGTTTGAGACGGTTCAATATAGTTGTCGAAGTCATTGCATATAATCTTTGAGTCAGGAAATACAGTATGGCACAGATGGGATATATAGAAACTTCCACCGAACAAATCTACAAATGTTAGACCATTCGGTAGTTTCTTAAGTTCTCTCAATAGAATATCTTTACATCTACTCTTATTTCCAAAGAAGGGTAACGGTGGTTTTGTAAAATTCATTTTATATACAATAAAAATGTTTTTTTCCTGAAAAGTGACAGAAAAGTGACAAAACATTTACGAAGAAATCTTGACAAATTCAAGAGGGTAGAAAAGAGGTTAGAAAAGAGGTTATATCTAACCTTCTACCCTAAAATATATTTTTGTCTGATTTTACGAAGAAGTCTTGACAAAACATGAAAACATATATAATTTGTGAAAAGCTCCTGGAAGACCCGTATATAAGAACTTCATTTATACTAAACATCTTCGGGGCTAGAGGGCACGAAGTGCCTGGAAGCCCCACTACCCTTTTTTTTTTTTTTTTTTTTTTTTTTTATTAGTTTCTAATTTCTTTTACTCGTTTATGACTCCATTGATTCCATTCAGGATTTAAACAATGTTTAATTAATCGCGGAATATCTGACATCATCTATATATATAGCTTCTTTTATTTTTCATTACATTATGTATGGGCTGAGTGTAAATGTCTTACAATTTTGAATATTTTTAAATCTTGATTTATTCAAAAACGTAAGAATAAAAACCGTAAGAATCATACATTTTTTACTTCATATGTTAAAAAAAATGATACAAAATCGTTCTATATTGTATGAATTCTTACGTTTACAAAAAAAGTCACACAACCCTTCAACATATACTACTTATATTGTATTTTAATTTCTATGTGAAAAATAAGTCACACTCTGTTCATTTTGATGAGAGTCCTCTGCTATATTTTGTGAGCAGTTAAAAAAATTATTTTAAAAAATTATTCGAAATATAATAACAGAAATGCATTATCTTATTGAGAATTGAATATTAGTTCAACAAATGTATCAAATTCACAAAAGAACTCCACAAAACAGTTCAAATGATTAATATTATTCCAAAATAATCAAAAATTTACATAATAATTCATGTAAGAAGGCCATCTCAGATGTAAGAAAGAATTTAGTCTTAAATTCATGTTGATTAAACGAAACAATAAGTATAAATATATTGCATTTTTAATAAATGAGTCTGATTTGATTTTACGTGTAGTTAAATATGTTTCAGTGTCATTGTTTCAGCTTTCTTGAAGCTTATGGCAATTGGGCAATTCTCAATAACGTACAATTGCCAAGAAAGTTTAAGGTTTGGCAAGTCACACAGGAGGCTAAGCGACACATCAGTATTCTCAACTTGTTCTGCCCAATTCCTCTTGAAGGAGTTCCGACCATCTTGTAAATTCTTTAGTTCGTCGGTGTCTCTGACTTAAAGTACTAAGAATAAATTTAATAAATAATAAATATTTCTACATAACAAGTCATTTAGCCATTATTTCTACTTGAAACCAGCAACAAAAAATCGAGATATAGGAAGAACAATATGCATTTTATTTATTTACTAAAACAATACAAAGAGAAGTAATGAAATGATATGAATAATGATAAACAATTTCATATTTTGTGATAATATTCTTCTTTATCACTAAATCTAAAATAGGATAATCAGTTTCACACAGATATGATGAAAAGTGAGAAAGATTATGAATAGAATATATATTTTGAACATTATTTGTTTTAATTGATCCATATGTTTTATCTATTATTCTGTCACAGAAAGAATCTTTAACTGTAATTGAACCAGAATTTCTTCGATGAACAGATTGATAAAATTCTTTTCCTGGTCCTGAGTTTCCAAGAAATGAACAGTTTTCAATAAGAACAGTTGATCTCCTTGCATAGAATGTTCCATATTTAGATTCTTTGTGTTCATTATTCAAAACATTACAAAAATTAAAAGTATAGTTACCACGATATAATTCTAAAATTCCATTATTTGATGTTGTGTTACAAAATGATGAATATGTTACGTTACTTAGACTTGTTGTATACCAAAGAAATATTCCTGAGTCATAGTATGCTTCACAGAAACTTGTGTTGATTGATTTAACTTCAATATTTCCATACCAAAGATGATTTGTATAAGGAATTTCTAAATTTCCGCATAAATAAAAAGAACTTTCATAAAGATAATTTTTATTATTTGATTTAGAAACTAATTTAACATATGAATGATGTCCACAGGGGTTTATTTTTGAGTTATGTCCTTGAAAGTTTGCTTTTGATTTGTAGCCACATGTTCGGTATTGGACAATGGAACTATTACATTTAAAGTAGAGAGATCCACCATTTGTATTACTGCTGCAGTTATTAAATGAACAATCGGAATTAAGGAATTTATTGTTTGTATTCGTAAAATAAATGGCACTATTGGTCGTAATAGCGATAAATATGCTTTCAAATATGAAACACTCATTATTTGTCGATTTAGCTGTAACGTTTGTGCCACAAATAGGTTGTGAATTAGGTTGTGTATTGTAAAAGCGTTCCCAAACATCACCAGAAGATTGAGAAAGATTAAATACTTTCTCTTCCTAAAATGAATTGTAAACTTCAGAAAACTACTTCCCTCGTCAAAATTTTTAAGAAAAATTTTTTATCTCTTCCATCAAGGAATAAAAACGGGGGAAAAGATATTACCATAAGTAATGAGTCGAATCCTTGCTGTCCAAAAGCGTGGCCTTACACCTTATGTTGCTTTTGATTGTCAATCACTTCCTTCCAAGTTAATTACAAATCAGAAGCATCAAGAAGAGTGACACGAAGCTTTACTTATTACTCAACAATTATAAAAAGAACTGCGATTACCATAAGCATTTGAATATTATCAAAAAACAGTTTCAATCATATCAGCAACAGTATATACATGAAAGAAATAACTTATAAATGAATACATCGAGTATATCGTATCACCATATGAATCAGATTCACAATTATCATATCTTGCAAGAACAAGATACTTTGATTGTGTTTTAACATATCTAACACCATTAGTATTATACAAACTTTATGATTTCTTACAAGTTACTTGAAATAGATACCAATATTTCATAACTTTTCATAAATTAACACCCAACAACTTTAGAACTCTTTGTATATTCATTTGATGTAACTATTCACCATCAATTACAAATCTTTCTCTGAAACTATCTCTTAAACTCATTTTAGAATACGAAAATTCAACAAATGTAATTATTTCTGCTATATCATACCAAAAAATACATAATTTACAACAAATTCTAATACATGTTTACCATTACATTCAAAACATTCTTTTATCCTCTTTCATATGATCCAATAACAGAACCATTAATTTTTTTCATTCAGAATCTCCGTAAGAACACAACTTTTTATAATCATACATTTCTGCAGATATACTTAAACATCTTGTTCAAGGTTAAATTGACACCATTACTCTTTGGACCATTTGAATTTACCAAATTCATCACCATCTGTGTTTCCTTACTTCAAAACAAACTATTCTCCAAAGATTGAAAGTTTCAAAGTCTTATAACCATCACAATCTAAGTATTTCAAGTTCACAAGACTCAATGACAAACATTTCCAGATATCATTCAATTCTCTATCATATTTCCAATCTATCAAACTAATAGTTGATTGAAAAAAGACGAAATTAATTTTGATATTTGTTCAAATTACGAAATTAACATTTTATTTTTTTCTCATAACATATGATATATATCCAATGATATATATCATATTCATCTCTTTAATTCATTCATAAGAAAAAAATTTATTTCTATCTCAGAAACAGAGATTTTATTTATTATTTATTTTCTTATTAATTGATATTTTTTCTTTCATAATTTACATAATTTAATGCAGATTGTAGAATCCATTTTAACTTCATGAATAATGATACGCACAGTATTCCAAACTTATCTTAGTCGATACAGTTCCAAAATTTAATGAAGCCATCTTTGAGTGCAAAGTTTATGACTTGAAGTTTGTTTGTGAATATTCTTCACCAGTACAAGCTTTCACGTATTGCATAGAAAGTTGTTGAAGAATTCCCAAGTGAGTGTGTTGTTACAATTGCCTGTCAATCATCATCATCAAACAAGACAACATTTGTGAAGCGTCTTTCCATTGCTCTTCGTGTTGTCTGTTACTATTCTATTGTTATTGAAATGAACTATTATTTTGTCGATCGCAAGAAGACACCAAAGGGCCCAGATGGCAAGAACGACTTCTAGTGCATTTGTGCCATCAATGTTTATGTTCTTGCTTATAATGTCCACACGTTACTTAAATGGGAAACAATTCTTCGCCGCAAGTACGATTTCAAGCAAGACAAGGGCATCAACATCGAAACAGAGAAACAGACACTTCCAGGCAACACATTCCTCATCCTTGAAGGCATTCACAGTTTGAATCCATAATTACTTGGTCCAACCGGTCGCGACATAGTCACTCCAATCTACGTTGCTCCACTTACACCACTTGTTGTCGACAATGACCACCACATCCTAACATCATATATTCGTCTCATCCGCCACATCATCATAGATCACAGGTACCTCGTCTATTCTGCTCGTAAAACAAACCACTGATGGACATCGGTCCGAGTTGGCGAAGAGAAGAACATTTTCCCATACCAAGGTGATGCAGAAATGTTCTTCAACTCTTCATTGCTTAAGGAACTTCCAGTTCTTTCTATCTACTGCCTCAATTTGCTCTCTGATGCCACAATTCCATATCATCGTTATCCACTCACCTCTGAAGTCACCCAGGAGGCTAAGCAACTCCTCAGAATGTTCTCCGGAAAACCTCTTGAAGGAGTTCCGCACATCTTGTGAATTTTCGAGTTCGTCTGTGTCTCTGACATAAAGTACTAAGAATAAGTTTAATAAACACCTAAACTCATAATAGTTTAATCAAAATAAATGCAAGCTATCAGTTTCGGATAAGAAAGAAAAATGCATCAACTCTGAAGAAGAAACGCGATACAACTAATATTGACGAGTTAAATTGCTGTATTCACAAACTTCATTGTATAACAAAAAAGAATAACTGTGAATATTTTTTTAACATTCAATTTTGATTCAAATTATAAGTTTTTAACGGAACAATTCACAAGTGAATATTGAAATTTGATTGATTGTCAAAAAATTTATTTATATTAAAACAATACAAAGAGAAATAATGAAATGATATGAATAATGATAAACAATTTCATATTTTGTGATAATATTCTTCTTTATCATTAAAACTAAAATAGGAAACTCTGCTTCACACAGATATGATGAAAAGTGAGAAAGATGATGAATAGAATATATATTTTGAACATTATTTGTTATAACTGATCCATATGTTTTATCTATTATTCTGTCACAGAAAGAATCTTTAACTGTTATTGAACCAGAATTTACTTGATAAAATTCTTTTCCTGGTCCTTTGTTTCCAAGAAATGAACAGTTTTCAATAAGAACAGTTGATCCATCTGCCCAGAATATTCCATATTCAGATTATTTGTGTTCATTATTCAAAACATTACAAAAATTAAAATTATAATTACCATAATCTAATTCTAAAATTAAATTATTTGATGTTGTGTTACAAAATGATGAATATGTTACGTTACTTAGACTTGTTGTATACCAAAGAAATATTCCTGAGTCATAGTCTGCTTCACAGAAACTTGTGTTGATTGATTTAACTTCAATATTTCCATAATAAAGATAATTTGTTCTCATTTTTTCTAAATTTCCGCATAAATAAAAAGAACTTTCATAAAGATAATTTTTATTATTTGATTTAGAATCTAAGGAAACATATGAATGATGTCCCCAATCAGAGTTTGTTTTTGATTTGTAGCCACATGTTCGGTATTGGACAATGGAACTATCACAGTTAAAGTAGATAGATCCACCATTTGTATTACTGCTACAGTTAGTAAATGAACAATCGGAATTAAGGAATTTATTGTTTGTATTCGTAAAATAAATGGCACTATTGGTCGTAATAGCGATAAATATGCTTTCAAATATGAAACACTCATTATTTGTCGATTTAGCTGTAACGTTTGTGCCACAAATAGGTTCTGAATTAGGTTGTGTATTGTAAAAGAGTTTCCAAACATCACCAGAAGATTGAGAAAGATTAAATACTTTCTCTTCCTAAAATGAATTGTAAACTTCAGAAAACTACTTCCCTCGTCAAAATTTTTAAGAAAAATTTTTTATCTCTTCCATCAAGGAATAAAAACGGGGGAAAAGATATTACCATAAGTAATGAGTCGAATCCTTGCTGTCCAAAAGCGTGGCCTTACACCTTATGTTGCTTTTGATTGTCAATCACTTCCTTCCAAGTTAATTACAAATCAGAAGCATCAAGAAGAGTGACACGAAGCTTTACTTATTACTCAACAATTATAAAAAGAACTGCGATTACCATCAGCATTTTAATATTATCAAAAATCAGTTGAAGAAATAACTTATAAAAGAATACATCGAGTACATAGTATCACCATATGAATCAGATTCACATTTATCATATCTTGCAAGAACAAGATAAGTTGATTGTGTTTTAACATATCTAACACCATTAGTATTATACAAACATTATGATTCGTTACAAGTTACTTGAAATAGATACCAATATTTCATAACTTTTCATAAATTAACACCCAACAACTTTAGAACTCTTTGTATATTCTTTTGATGTAACTATTCACCATCAATTACAAATCTTTCTCTGAAACTATCTCTTAAACTAATTTTATAATACGAAAATTCAACAAATTTAATTATTTCTGCTATATCATACCAAAAAAATACAGAATTTACAACAAATTCTAATACATGTTTAACATTGTATTTAAAACATTCTTTTATCCTCTTTCATATGATCCAATAACAGAACAATTAGTTTTTTTCATTCAGAATCTCCATAAGAACACAACTTTTTTTATAATCATACATTTCTGCAGATATACTTAAACATCTTGTTCAAGGTTAAATTGACACCATTACTCTTTGGATCATTTGAATTTACCAAATTCATCACCATCTGTGTTTCCTTACTTCAAAACAAACTATTCTCCAAAGATTGAAAGTTTCAAAGTCTTATAACCATCACAATCTAAGTATTTCAAGTTCACAAGACTCAATGACAAACATTTCCAGATATCATTCAATTCCACATCATATTTCCAATCTATCAAACTAATAGTTGATTGAAAAAAGACGAAATTAATTTTGATATTTGTTCAAATTACGAAATTAACATTTTATTTTTCTCATAACACATGATATATATCCAATGATATATATCATATTCATCTCTTTAATTCATTCATAAGAAATCAAAATTTATTTCTATCTCAGAAACAGAGATTTTATTTATTATTTATAGGGTTGCAAATTTGGAAGCGCAGGATGCTATGCGACTCCTCATAATTCCAAATTTGTTCTACCCAATTCCTCTTGAAGAAGTTTCGCACATCTCGTGGATTCGCGAGTTCGTCTGTGCCTCTGACTTAAAGTACTAAGAATAAATTTAATAAATAAATAACAAAACTTTTTAAATATTTCTAAATAACAAGCGGCCTAGTCATTATTTTTTATGAGTTTACTAAAACAATACAAAGCGAAGTAATGAAATGATATGAATAATGATAAACAATTTCATCATATGTGATAATATTCTTCTTTATCATTAAATCTAAAATAGGAAACTCTGCTTCACACAAATATGATGAAAAGTGAGAAAGATGATGAATAGAAGATATATTTTCAACATTATTTGTTGAAACTGATCCTATTTTATCTATTATTCTGTCACAGAAAGAATCTTTAACTGTAATTGAACCAGGATCATCTTGATAAAATTCTTTTCCTGATCCTGTGTTTCCAAGAAATGAACAGTTTTCAATAAGAACAGTTGATCCATCTGCCCAGAATATTCCCAATGTAGAATATTTGTGTTCATTATTCAAAACATTACAAAAATTAAAATTATAATTACCATAATCTAATTCTAAAATTATATAATATGATGTTGTGTTACAAAATGATGAATATGTTACGTTACTTAGACTTGTTGGTTCATATAGAAGTATTCCTGAGTCATAGTTTGCTTCACAGAAACTTGTGTTGATTGATTTAACTTCAATATTTCCATAATAAAGATAATTTGTTGCTCTTTTTTTCTAAATTTCCGCATAAATAAAAAGAACTTTCATAAAGATAATTTTTATTATTTGATTTAGAAACTAAGGAAACATATGAATGATGTCCTCTATCAGAGTTTGTTTTTGATTTGTAGCCACATGTTCGGTATTGGACAATGGAACTATTACATTTAAAGTAGATAGATCCACCATTTGTATTACTGCTACAGTTAGTAAATGAACAATCTGAGTTAAGAAATTTATTGCTTGTATTCGAAAAATAAATGGCACTATTGGTCGTAATTTCAATGAAGATACTGTTAAAAATGAAACACTCGTTTTCTGTTGATGTTGCTTGAACATTCTTCCCAGTGATTGGTTTTGGTGATGTTGATGTTCCATAAAAAAGTTCCCAAACATCACCAGCAGATTGAGAAAGATCAAATACTGTCTCTTCCTAAAAGAAATGTAAACTTCAGAAAACTACTTCCCTTGTCAAAATTTTTAATGAGTCGTATCATGGCTGTTTAAAAATTTGGCCTCACCCCTGTTGTTGTTTTTGATTGTCAAGCAGCCAAGTTCATGACAAATTAGAAGCTTCAAGAAGAGCGACGTGAACCATTATACTTATTGCTCATCAATTATAAATAGAACGACGATTACCATCAGCATTTTAATATTATCAAAAATCAGGTGAAGAAATAACTTATAAATGAATACATCGAGTACATAGTATCTGCTTATGAATCAGATTCACATTTATCATATCTTGCAAGAACAAGATACTTTGATTGTGTTTTAACATATCTAACACCATTAGTATTATACAAACATTATGATTTCTTACAAGTTACTTGAAATAGATACCAATATTTCATAACTTTTCATAAATTAACACCCAACAACTTTATATCTCTTTGTATATTCTTTTGATGTAACTATTCACCATCAATTACAAATCTTTCTCTGAAACCATCTCTTAAACTAATTTTATAATACGAAAATTCAACAAATATTATTATTTCTGCTATATCATACCAAAAAATACATAATTTACAACAAATTCTAATACATGTTTAACATTGCATTTAAAACATTCCTTTTCGCTCTTTCATATGATCCAATAACAGAACCATTAGTTTTTTTCATTCAGAATCTCCATAAGAACACAACTTTTTTTATAATCATACATTTCTGCAGATATACTTAAACATCTTGTTCAAGGTTAAATCAAGAAAACAAGTATCCATCGTAGGAAAGATCATTAGCCATGAAGATAGCACAATCAGCATTGATTACTTGGTAAATGATTGTACAGGCAGTATCAAAGTTAAGAATTTCATTTCAGATGATAATCCAGAGCCAATTCCAGATGGAACATACGTTTTTGTTGTTGGACGAATTACACCTGCTATTGAAGATGGAATATCTTCATTCACAATCAAACCCATAACAGAATTCGATCAAATTCCTTATCATATGCTTTACTCATTGTTCGTACACTTACAGACAACAAGAGGAACACCCCCAGACTCCTCTTTCGCTCAAGCACCAAAGCATGTTGAAACATCCGCTCCAGCACCTCCTCCAATGCGATCAAGCGAAGACAGAGATGAAAAGATTAAGAACGATGTCATTGAATTCCTCAAAGAGAACAATTCAGATTGCGGAACTCCAGAAGAACAAATTATTCAACATTTCTCACACATATACTCTGCAGAAGAAGTTAAGAAAGCAGTTGAAACAGCAAACTTTAACGGTGAAATCTACTCTACAAGCGAAGATAATTGTTATAATCCTTGCTAAATTTTGAATAATTTTTCTCTTGAAATCATTGTTACTGATACAAAATTTAATGTTTGCTCTTTAAAGGATGTATTAGGTTATCACTGCGAAAAAAACCAAAATTGCCTTGGCAATTGTACGTTATTTTAAAAAGAGTTTACATTGAGTATCTCTAGTTTCGCTATAACCTAATACACAACATCACAAAAAACATAAATCCTTCGGCAAAAATATCAAATGATTCAATTTCAAATATCAAATTTCCAAAAATCATCAATAATGCCACCATTTTATTTCAAAAATATATAGAAACTAAAATATAGCATTCTCTTGCTTCTTTCAGACTTAAATAATGCAAAATTTACTATTTTTTTTCAAAACTTCGCTCATCCAAGAATTGCCAAGCTTGGCAATTCGTGATGAACAAAATTTGCGCTTTTGGCAGTTCCGACATCCTTAGTTTCCTGAACTCTAAGATCTTTTTTATTTACTTTTATCTGATCATTCCATAAAAGTCTTCGTTTGTGTAATCATATTTTGTTTGTTTATTTGCCATTAATATTTTTGCATTATCAGAAACAATTGAGCTTTAAAATATATTGCATTGATAATTTTCATCATTCATATCTTTTATTGGTATTTGTTCGTGTGGAATAAGAAGCACGGCTGTTTCTTTATTATTACAATCTGCTATACAATGAAGAACCGTGTTTCCATTTTCTTCTTATTCATTGATATTTGAACTATGTTCAAAATAACTGTTAAAATATTTTCAACTAATTTTTTTAATAATCTAGTTGAAAAATGTAAATATTTGGTAATAACAGATACTTTTAAATTCAGTGTATTTGTTAGCATATATATTTTGATCAGATATTTCTAATTTTACAGTTGGATAATATTGTCATCAAATGAAAAATCAAAATGTTAACAGAAGGTATTAAAACTTTATTTGGCACTTGTGGTCCATACTGTTATGAATACTTTGTTACAGCCCAATAAAGCAAGAAATATATAGAAGCCCTTATATAGAATTCAAATTATTATTAATTTCTTACTGACCAATTAGAATTAATATCTTTATATATAAATTTAAAGTTTGAATGTAATATTTGCAATGTTTATAATTTGAAAGTATGAAATGAATATAAAAAATATGAAAATAAAGATTTATCCAAAGTCGTCTTGTAAACTACGTTCAAGTTCATGACGATTTTCGATCTTACGGTAGCGCTTATGCAAGTAGACGCCAAAAATAATTGATATTATTAACAATATGATTATAACACCTGTCAATGAGAGAATTAATGGGGTCCAGCTCTTAGGTGGTTTTATATAACAGTAATCTTTAAATTTCAAAGTATTTTGAACTGTTAAATCTGATTTTAGATTGCTTTCATCGAAATTATTGTTGTTGTGGCAATAAACTGAATAAGGATTTTTATCAAAGGATGCCAAAACCAAATTATATGTTTTATCATTATCGAGAATGTTATCAATGAAATTCGTATGATGAAGATTTAATTTGCGGCTTGAAATTAGTGATATGTCTTTGATTCCATTATGAAAAACTAAGCAATTCTGAATAGTTGATTCTAAATCATTATAATTGTAAATAACAGCATATGATCTTGGATAATTATTTGAAAAATTACATTGGCTTATATCTGCATTCATATGAATATACATCGATTGTCCTGTATGGTTGTTTTTTCCAGGACAATTGCATAAACATGAAGATTGAAATCTAAATTCTGAATTACCATCGATATAGGCATACGCAAAATGATTTGTATCTAACGAAAAGCAATCTGTACAACAACTTTCATAGATATATAATGAGCCTTTCGTAGCAGACAAATAAATAGCACCACCATCAACATTAAGGCTCCGGTCCCACCCTCTCAATTTTAAAAGTTTTAATATCTCCACCAATATGAGTTTTTGATACTTTTATTTTAGTATATAATATTATTATGTAATACACTATAGTATTGTATATTTAAACTGAGTATTACTATTATAGTTCATCTTATCTGAGAATTCGGTATTTTGACAAATTTCAACTTTGACTGGTGAAACTATTTATAATCAAAAAAGCCCACGACATTTTATAGCATATTAGTGATACATTATATTGTTATTAGTAAACTTGATTTTCAATCTCTTCTAGATGAGTTATTTGTTTTTTTGAAAAAATCTGACAAATCACTTTTTGACAGAATCTAAAGATTTTTGATTTGTGAAAGTTTTAATAATATGATAAGGTTTATATATGCTATCATAATATAATAAAATCATATAATATTACATTATCACTATATATGTCGAATATTAAAAAAGTGTATATTAACATTTTTTGTCATATCTTGATAATAAAGAAAAAACTCTCAGTTCCCCTTCGACAAATTGTTAGAATGCAACTAAAGTTTATTTTGATATAGTGAGTTTGCTTCTAAAAAAATATATGAAAGAAGAGTTAGATTTGCAAGACCCCTATAAAAAACCATTTTTGCGTCGAGAATAACTTCATGCACGATTAATTGATATGATAATAAAAATCATATATGATAATTACTTAATATAGGCAACAATATTGTATTAATCACTTTTTGTCAAAACAGTTTTTCGATAATTGAGTATTCAATTTTCCAAAAATCCATTCAATAATTTGATTTATAATTCAACGTGTAAGAAAAAACTCTAAGTTCCCCTTCGACAATTTGTAAAGAAAATTATATAGTTTCTATCGACACTATTTGTATATTCTACCTTCTTCGGTATTTCGAAGAATTAGGTTTGCAAATTTGATATTTTTGATGTATTTTTCAAATTGAGAGATTTTTGACGATAGAAGTAGGTGTTTTTTGAATTACAATTTTATATTGATGTGCATGATAAAAATTTGAACTTATATTATGGTGACATAGTATAAGTCATAATGTATTAATATACAAAAGATACTATCAAAAAATTCCTTTCCAATATGTATAAACAAATCGATTTTTTAAATTAAATTTAAACCTTAAACTCAATATATTAAAAAGTGACATTATTTTAATTAGAAGTACAAAAATCCATAGTCATAGAATTATCAAATGATTGAAAATTGTTATAATTGGGCGCATTATACTCATTTATGAATTTACTATACTATATACTTTGCAAATTTAAAAATCCAAATTTTCAATTTTTAAAATATCATTATTTATCATATATCAAATAGTAAAGTTAGTATATATCATGTTTAAAACGATAATATAGTCAAATTCGAAAATTTTAAAAATAGATAATATTTAATTTTTATAAAATATTGGTATATGTGCAATATATTGGTATATTTTTACTCCTTGTTAGATACTCGTCCTAACTATATGCAGCAATCATGCAGGACTGGAGCCTTAACAAAATATGATGAACAACTGATATTGTTAAATATTGTCGTATGAATTTCGACAAAGCATTCATATGTGATAATTTTTATAGCACCACCGGCTTGATTGCTAATCAAATGAAGGAATTGGCAATCTGAAATACTGCATGAACTTAAATAAGCAGTGTTAAGGTCAATTCTAGATTCTGTTTTATGATAATTTACTACTTGATTTTCAAAAAATTTGATTGGTTCAAAGTTAACATTATATTGTGTAAGATCTGGTTTGATTGTTATTATGTTTGATAAGGAATTAATTTCACTTGCATCATTCAGAATAGAGCAATCAATAAGTTCTAAATTTTGGAAGAAAGTACTCCAATTACCTGGATATAATACAGAAATTTCTATGAATTCACAATTTTTCATTATGCGTTCTTCTTTTGTGGTGGAATACATGAAACCTGTTAAATATTTTAACTCTTGAAAAAACAGAATTTAAAATTTTTGCTTTTCCGCTACTATAAAATAACTCTTAATAATTTTGTATTAATATGTCTGAAAAAATGCAAAAATCAAGAGATGCTTCATTAATATTTATAAATTGAATAATACTTCCTGGTTGCGTATAGTTACAATATGTCATTGATGTGTTAGTGGTGCCAAAGTTAAGAAAATGTCCATTGAGATCTGCACAATAATGTATTTGATTATTGTTAAAATCGTTTTTATAACCAGAGGAATAATAGATCAAAGAGTTTGAAGAATATATATTTTGAAATGAATTTTTCTCAATAAATGTTTGAAGCATTTGCTTTGGAGAACTTTGGACGTATAATGCACCTGATGATGAAGATTTGTCATTCTGAAATAGGGAACTAAATATTACGACGTTATGAATCTGATTTGAAGTAATGCTAATAGGAGCTACAACAATTTCTTGTCTTGTTAAGTAACTGAAATATGAGCATGATACATTTACTATTTGAACATAACTCGGAAATACTTTAATTGGTTGATTAAATGTGCCATTCAGTAAGAGAGTTATGTCCATTTAAAAATTGCGACGGTTTTTCCAATCGGGCGGTTTTTCCAATTGCGACGGGTTTTCCAATCGGGCGGTTTTTCCAATTACGACGGTTTTTCCAATTAACGTCGGAAAAATAACTCCGTAGCATAAATTTAAATTGTAGCACCCGTATTTTTCAATAAAACTTGGTTATTTTTGATAGCCATACTACTCTACTTCTGTTTATATGCATACAGCCGTGATGATACATGAAAATTCCAAACCTAAATTCTTAATTTCAAGATAATCATCAAAACTCAAGTTTGTATAATAAGCGTAGATATTACATGCTTATCCAATATCCTCTTAATACACATAAAACATTTTGGTTAACTCGGCAAATTGAAGTTAATAAGAATCTAATTTTTGAAATATCGTTGGTAAAATCACAATGATAGTAATAACAATGAGCATTATATTTCCAAGTTTTTTGACTTTTGAAACACAAACATTGATGCTCATATTTCAAGAAATATTCTCCATGAAATTAGGGAAATGTCATTTATTTCGAACACCAAATTCTAAATGAGAATTATTTGATTTTCAGGAATATATGTCAATAATCAAAGAGAGAAAAGCTGTAATTGAAATAAATTTTAAAAAACAATTTTAATTTAAAACAAACAAAAGATAATATAACAGAAAAAACATCAATATTATCATGTAGTTAGTTAAAATGACGTAGTAGGTTCAATAACAAAGAAAATATTTTGAAAACGATTATTTGCAGCAATTTTCGCATTTTTCGCAATGCCTGCACTTGCAAACATTTCTAAAAACAGATGTATCACGTAAACGATAAATTTCTAAAGCGAGATATTCAAAAAGTTCTAAAACGCCTTGGCCAGTTTTTGCAGATGTATTAAATACGGTCAAATTACGTAGTTTCGCATATTCTTGTATTTTAATTTCAGATTCTTCTGTTTTCAAATCGTATTTTGTTGCTGCAATAATAATTGGAACCTTTTCTCCAACAACTTCTCTAAATCGAGCACACCATTCATCAAGGCTCTTATAATCAAGATCTGCTTCTGAATGTGGAACAATTAATAAACAAGCTTGGGATGAGCGGTAATATATGCTTCCAACTGACTTATACATTTCTTGACCAGCTGTATCCCATATATTAAGCTTGATTGTATGCTCACCATTGCGGGTTACCCAAGTATAATAACCGGCACCAACAGTTGGCTGAACTGTCTCTGAAAATTGCTGTGATATCAATCTATTCAGCATGCTAGTCTTACCTGTACCAGCATCACCAATGAGAACCACCTTGAAGGCGGACTCGCGTTGCATTTAATACTTTTTTTTTATTATTAAAATTTACCCACTAATCAGAATATTTTCAATGACCTTCTACAAAATTAAAATCTAACAAGGAGAGATAGAATTTGATAATTTTCGTATTTGTTTTTTGGATTGGTGACCATGGATATCATTAATTTATCCTCGAATCCCAAAAATAATTCGAAAGACATTTATGATCAAGAAAGGAAATAGTTGGAATGGTGATTCATATGTATCTCAGCACTATATGATGAAAACAAGTATATTCTTTGAACCATTCCCTTTTATTTTATGCAATAAAATCTGCTTAATCAATTAATGGATTGGAGCAAGATTTTTTTTGAAATCATCCAAAAAATCTAGAATGTAAGTTTGGTACGTAGTATTAATATCTAAAAACAAGATTTTCTTGTGTTTATAATTTTTTTTTCTAAAATGTAAGATAATTTCAGCACCACATTAATTAGAGGAACGAGGGTATTGGAAAAGCTTGTTACTTTTGTTATCAGCAAATAAAAAATTTTATTGATAAAAATTAATTTCATATTGATAAGAGCATTTCATTATTGTTCTCTTCCTTTCTTGATGTATTCTGTAAGGAACTAAGAACAATCCTTGATATTAAGTTTTTTGATAATCCGACATTTTCATCGATCTAAAGAAATCGTGAATTAGTAATTAGCTCTAACAAATGATCTGAACTATGTAATATTAAGACAACCATACTCATTGCACAATGTTCTTCCAAACTTTTAACTTTGTGAATGAAATTTCATAAGAAACGACCAAATATTTAGTTTTAGATTTGATAGTATATCTTTGTAGTCATTCTATACTTTTATAAATTATCGAAAGAAAATCGGCTATTCAAATGAAATATTTATTTTTCAATGTCTGATTAATAAACTCCTATCGTTTTTGGATAAAAAGCAATATTTATCACAATATGAAATAATAATCCATGACTCAGTAAGTTATATTTTATAAAGCTCACATTTTTATCTCAATGTTCACAATTAGCAAACTTTTGATTGAGGTCCCTCAAAAATTATTCTGTCCAATCAGCCAAAACGGCTCAATGGATAGTATATACAGAGTTTATACATATTTTCGATAAACTCATCAGAAAAAGACTTTCATCGTTTTGGAGAATTTAATAAAATGCTAATTCTAAAATCGTATTCAGATAAGTATTCTGAGCAATAAGTGAAGATGGAGAAATGAACCAAGTTCTCAATTGTGGAGAAAAACCGCAATTTTCTCTCAACAATATTTGTGAGAAATCAGCCAAACAAAGTTTCACTTCACCGTCCTCTCAATTCAACGTTTTGAGATTTCAGTTCATTTTTTCGAATGGCTGAAAGAAAGCATTTCGAAGTTCCAAAGACATTCAAGGGCTTCGCCATGAAGGGCATTGGCAACGTTGGCTGGATCGAGAAGCCAATTCCAGAATGCGGCCCACTTGATGCTCTTGTCCGCCCACTTGCTCTTGCTCCATGCACATCAGATATCCATACAGTCTGGGCTGGTGCCATCGGTGACCGCCACGACATGGTTCTTGGCCACGAAGCTGTCGGCCAGATCATCAAGGTCGGTGAACTCGTTAAGGAACTCAAGGTTGGTGACAAGGTCATCGTCCCAGCCATTACACCAGATTGGGGTGACTCCCTTTCCCAGGCAGGCCATCCGATGCACTCCGGCGGAATGCTCGGTGGCTGGAAGTTCTCCAACTTCAAGGACGGCGTCTTCGGTGAAGTCTTCCATGTCAACGAAGCAGATGCTAACCTTGCCAAGCTTCCAGAAGGCCTTACACCACGCCAGTGCGTTATGTGCTCTGATATGATGACAACAGGCTTCCACGGCGCTGAACTCGCTGACATCAAGCTCGGCGAACAAGTTTGCGTCATCGGTATCGGCCCAGTCGGTCTCATGTCCGTCCGCGGTGCATCTCTCATGGGTGCTTCCCGCATCATCGCTGTCGGCTCTCGCCCACACTGCTGCGACATCGCTATCCAGTACGGCGCTACAGATATAGTCAACTACAGAAACGGTGACATTGTTGAGCAAGTTCTCAAGATGACAGACGGAAAGGGTGTTGACAAGGTCATCATCGCTGGTGGTGACAACCACACATTCGCCCAGGCCGTCAAGATGATGAAGCCAGGTGGCATCATCGGCAACGTCAACTACCTCGGAGAAGGCGAGAACATCGATGTTCCACGTGTTGAATGGGGTGTCGGTATGGGCCACAAGTTCATCCATGGTGGTCTCACACCAGGTGGCCGCCTTCGTATGGAGAAGATGGGCAACCTCATCAAGTACGGCCGTGTCGACCCAACAAAGCTTATCACACACGAATTCAATGGATTCGAGCATGTCGAGGATGCTCTCATGCTCATGAAAGATAAGCCAGCTGATCTCATCAAGCCAGTCGTTCTTATCGAATGGAATGATGACCTCGAGTAAATTTCTAAGTATAACCTTACGGTATTATTAATTATCAAAAAAATCATCTCATTTTTATTTATTAGTTTCAATATTTTTGGCGAAAGCGGGGTTTTACTGTGATATATTACCAATATATGTAATTACAAACGTAAATAGCTCTAATCGAAGATAGTGTAATCAAACATATCAACAGAAATCATTTTAACTTTATATATCTTATCTATGGCACAAGAAATTAAACTAAAAGAACTTGTAAACCAACGAATAACAATTATTGAAATAATTATTTTATTTTTACATACTTGTAAAGAAAGTTTAGGGTAGTAAATCGATATATTTCATTGATTGGTTAAATATGCTAAAATATTATTAAAGAATAGATTAGAACTTGATATTTTATTATAATGTCTCTGAATTTAACAAAAATTGAATAACAAACATACTGTGCTTGAATCAGTAATGCATAGTTTCTTCTTAAAGTTGTAAGCAAAGTTACTTATTACCTTTATCCTTGGCAATCTTTGCATCAAGAATGCGTCTGAGTGAAACACTACGAGCTTTGACGTTTTCACGTGTATTCTCAAGAGTATTAGAGACATTGGTGAGTTCTTTGCGCATTATGTTATAACGAGCTTGAGCACACCTCTTTGTGAAGCTTTTTGGTGGCTTTACAAGTTCGAAACGAATAACTTCGGCAAAATTGAATTTTCTTTTCTGTTGTATGGACATTATTAAAACATCTCTTTCAGGATCGTGATTAACGATCATTTTAGATGTTTCTGATCCTGCTTGAGACTCTTTGATGTATTGGCGAACAATTTCAACAAAACGCTGGTAATCGTTAACGCTTAAATCGTTATTTTGCATATAATTAGGATATTCATCCATTGACAATTTGAAAATGTAATGATAGAATATGTCTGTATCATCCATTATTTCAAGCTCGAACTTTGTTGTTTGAGTTCCGATGATATTTGCATAAAAATTCAAACAAAGCTTGTGAGCTGAAGTTTTATTACCTTTGCTTGAGTCAAGGGTCTTAACTACATCGGAATCAATAAGTTTTAGGCCTTCTTCTTCATGTGAGTCTAAGATAAACTGCTTTTCTTCTTCCACCATAAAGGAGTTATGTAACGCAAAAATAAAGTTTTGTAAAGAATGTAAATTGTCAAAAATTTAGTTTACATTTGCCAAAAAAAGTTTATCCACAATTTCGGTTTCAGGTAGAGTGGATAATCCGAAATATAATTAATTCTTTTTATAAATGACCTTTTATTGATATACTTTAGATTCTAGGACTATATACTACGAATTTTCATAATAATAAGTCCTTATAACTTCAATGTAGCTTCAAGAGCGATCTTGATCATGTTCTGGAATGATGTCTGGCGCTCTTCTGGTGTAGCGGACTCGTGTGTGATGATGTGATCCGAAACTGTGCAGATGCAGCCAGCTCTTGCGCCATAGTAATCAGCAATTGGGAAGAGACCAGCAGATTCCATTTCGACAGCAATGAAGTGGTACTGAGCAAGGGCCTCATTTAATCCTTGTTCCTTGCTGTAGAAGATATCTGTTGAGTAGGCCTTTCCAACCTGTGTTGGGATGTTGAGAGCCTTGGCGGATTCAACTAAGGCACTAACGACTTCGAAGTTGGCTGTAGCTGGGAAATCGTGGCCAAGAAGGCGCATTCTGTTAACATTTGAATCTGTGCCAGATGCTGTGACAATGCAGACATCGCGGACGTGAACATTTGGATCAACTGTGCCGCAAGTGCCGACACGGATGATGGTCTTAACCTTGTAAACGTTGTAGAGTTCTTCAGCGTAGATGGAAATGGATGGGATACCCATGCCATGACCCATAACAGAGAGTGGTTTGCCCTTGTATGTGCCTGTGAAACCAAGCATTCCACGAACAGAGTTGACTTGCTTAGCGTTCTCAAGATAGTTATCAGCAATGAGCTTGGCACGGAGTGGATCGCCGCACATGAGAACTGTCTCAGCGAAATCGCCAACCTTTGCAGAGTTATGGGGTGTTGCCATAAGAAATGAAGTGATGGGTATTGAAATAACTTCATTGTTTTTAAAAATAAAAAGTATCATATTTATTGTGTAAAGCACAATTTTCCAAACAAGGCCGGGACAACAATTTCAAACAAATTTTTGTAAACTATTCAAAATAGACTATTTCACGGGTTAAAATTGAATACGAAATAAATCATTGATCGGCATATGTAAAACGAAATGTTAGCATAAGTCCAATATATTTTGATTTTTTTTTCAAGAAACAATAAAATTTGAGTTGGAGAACACTAATGTTTCTTCGAATTGGTAGATAAATAGAGGCATATCTTTACGAAAAGGAATAGATATAGCTATGATGCGTATATTCGTAAGAGAATTATGCTTTAATTGATCGTGTTGATGGACAAGATTTGCACTTCAATGTTGTCAATGAATTTCCATTCATAACAAGTGAAGAGATACTTCTATAAGACGTGACTATCATCTTTTAATAAATTTCATATATACATGAGAGTAAAAAAAATTTGTAAAGATCAAATTTTCATCTAATGATCTTTTTCATAATACAAATCATATTTTTCAAATAAGAAAAACAGAATGGCATAATTATTTTTGTTGACTTACAATTTGAAATTCTGAATTTCTTCAAATTAATATCTTATCAAGGATCAGCTTATAATTTGTATCTCTGTGAACTTTGGACTTAATAAATCTGATGAGTCTTATTAACAACAAATACACAAAACGTTTTCTTTGTCTGTCTTATTGACTTTTTTTTACAAAAATGTATGCACCTGCCATTCAAAAGAGGCTTACGAACAAACAAAATGACCATATAAGATCGTTAATGCTGAAACAGAATTTATCGTTTGATGATTTCAAATCCATTGCCCAATATTCTTCAGAACAAATAGAATTATTTTTTGAAGGAAACCAAGATCTATTTCCCGAAAAAACCGTATTGTACAATGTTATTCATGAATTTCTAGCTACAAGAGCAAAAAATTTATCAATTGATTACCAAGTTTTTAAATATTTATCAAATTCGAGGTATTTTTTTCCAACTCATGTCATAAGACGCTTCTTCGAGTTGAAGAAATTACATAAACAAGGTGATGACATATCAACAATTTTATATATTATCAAGGAAAATATATATGATTATTATGGTATACTGTTTAGGAAAAATTCAGCTTACTATAATATTTGCAAAATAATCACAGAAACAATAATTTCAACTGGTTTTTCGCCTGAAATCATTCAATTTAACCTACGATTCAGACCACCAGATAACGGATTTATATTTTGGACTATTGATAAAACACGTTGTTCAGTTCAGGTCGGAAATATAGTGCACCCAGATTATAAATTTTTGTTTAAAGGTATCGATTTCAAAGAAAATTTTGAATTAAAAGCTCCTCTTGATCAAATCGTCGGATTGAGATACTTCAAGAAAGATTTTCAATTCCATTTTGATGAATATCTCAGCACGAAGAATTTTGTATTCCAAGTTGTTGATCAAATATCAAATGCAAAAAATCCGGAAATAATATCACAAATCTTTTATTTCCTTGAATATATTTGTGATGCAACAGAGTATCATAAGTACACAAATGTTTATTCAGCTCTCTCTCTGTTATTTCATACAAACAATAACAAGAATGTCATTCCACTTCTTGAGCAAATTGATAAAAACGTTTATTACAAATTATTGATATTTTTTGATGAAAAAACTAATCTATCTGCAAATATAACAAACTACATTAGTTTCATTAAAGAAAACAGATCTGTTACCGTAGATTTCACTTATGATAATGAAGCAGATAATTATGATTATTTAGTTGATATTGCAAAAGTTTCATCAATCAATTACTTGATAGAGCAGTATAAAAACAAAGAAATGGATTCTGTTTTAACAATTTTTGCATTATTCCCAGAGTTAATAAAATATGGAGAATATTTTATTGATTTCAGAGAAGAAATGATCCAAGCGTTAGAGAAAATCAGAGATACAACAAATAATTTAAAGATTCCTGACAAATCTCTTGAAGAGATTTCAAATGAAATCAAAAACATGAAATTTGTTTCCAAACAGTTCCTTAATTGCTTTAATTTCTTATGGAATGTTTTACCACATGATTATGTTCTCAAGCTTCCAAACAAAGATATTTCAGATGGACTTTCTTTATCTACAATTTACTCTCGTGTCAATGACATTAATAATAACAAAATAATAAATAAATTCTTTGATATGATGAAAGGTCTTCCTGAAATTTCAGAGGCAGCAAGATCTTTATTATTCAAGAAGATAGCTCTGACTAATTCATATGATTCTATAACTTTTCTAATGCAGAATTTCAAAAAACTAACTAAGAAAGCTAAAATTAAAAAAGATGTTTTTGAACAATTCTTAATTGACTGCTGCGATAAATTATTACAAGGTTCCTGCAATTCTGTTAAGCTCTATTCAAACTATGAAAAATCATTTGATCCAAAAAAGATCAAACAAGCAAAAATTATGGAAGAAATCAAAAAACCAAAAGAAACTATTGGCAAAGCGTTACTGATCAATCTCTTTGACAGGAAAGCTGCAGGTGAATCCTATCAAAAATATCAATTAAATTTGGTAATTACTTATTTTTCAAAATTACGATACTGGTTTGAAAAAATTCCTTTATTTTTTGAAAGTGAAGATGAGGATGAATTAAAATATAACAAAGCCAATAAGAAAGAATTATTCGAAATGATTATTGATGCAGATCAGCGAGGTCAATTTGATGAATCAATGACTAAGGAATTCACTATTTTCTACAGCGATAGTCCGGAATTGGTTGTATATGATAACAAAGATTTTACAAAAAAGGAATATAGATCACTTTTTCATATCTTTATTTTTGAAGATGGAGGAAAACAACCAAGATACTCTACTGCACCGCCTGGAAATTTAATTTCTGTCAAATTTCCTATATGTTACAAACCAATAAAGTGTTCATTTTCTGATCTGAAATCAACTTTTGATAAGGCAGTCAAAGTTTGTAACCAGGATATTGAAGTTTTCTACAAGGATATGTTCCTAGAAGTTGTAGATGAAAAGAAAGAGGAAATTCCAATTGATAAAATCTTGAAAGAAATAGAAACAAATACTAATAATCAAGAAAAAGAAGAAAAACCAAATGATGTTTATAATAAACAAAAGATAAATGATCTTGTAGCGAAAGAAGAATTTTCAAATCAAACGAAAACTGAAATTATAAAGAAAGATGAATTATCTAATCAACAGAAACCTGAAATTATAAAGAAAGATGAATTATCTAATCAACAGAAACCTGAAATTATAAAGAAAGAAGAATTATCAAATCAAACGAAAACTGAAATTATAAAGAAGGATGAATTATATAATCAACAGAAACCTGAAATTATAAAGAAAGATGAATTATCAAAACAACAAAGTTTGCATGATTCAACACAACAAAATATTGGTTCAATTCAACAAGAAAAAGCAGAAGAACAAAAGCAATCTATTCCTACAGAAAAGAAGCCCGTTTTAATTCCATTTCAACCAATTAAAAATCAAGTTGAATCTGATAAATTAAAATACAAAGGTGTCGATTATCTTTATGTAAAAAGAATTGGAGATAAGTTCATTTCAAACTTTTCAAAGATTGAAATCAATGCAAGAGATGTTAATGATATTCAGTACACTCCATTTGAAATCTACATCAGATATTTTAGTTGTTTTAATGAAATCCCATATATCCAAAATAGTCCCGAATTAAACAATTGTATTCGATATTCATACAACAATTGTTTGATCACATTTTATGTTTATTTCAACAATTTCATCAAAGGAGATTTCGAATACAAAGGAAACATCATGATCAATAATTTTATTTTCCCATTTGATTTCAAATTCAATGTTATTGATACTATTTGTTATGTTTCTATTCCCGGATTACAGTTTTCAATTGATCAACAAACACAAAGACCATTTACATCATTTAATAGTATCGAAAAACCATTCAAGATCAATTCCTTTGATTCTAAATTTAATGAACTCAAAAATCAAATAGAAATCTATGGAAACGCTTCATTAAACGAAAATTCAGAACTTGAAATCAAAGAAAAATCAAGTTTTGGTGTTGTTGTTTATTTGTCCAAACAAAACTCAATGTACACAGGAATAAATTTCTATCCAAGTGACAGCACTGATAGCTTAGAAATGTTTTATTTCCATCCAGGATTGAGACAATTTTGTAAAACAGACAAAATATTTGCCGGTTTCTATGCTACTTATTGTAATTTTTACATCAAAGGATATGATGAATCAAAATATCAAATTACATTTAATCCAAGCAATAAGATATTCTTTAACCAACATTCTTACAAGAACAATATATTAACATTTAGTTACGCCTTCAAAACAACTTCAAGAAAACAAGTTTTCATTGAAATTGTTTTTACTTCTGAAAAAGAAACAAAAACTTTCCGATTTGAAGTCATCAATACTCAGCTTGAAATCATAGAAAACAATAATGAAATATGCTGCAGATTTGAATATGAAGAACTTAATACAATTCCTTGTTTGTATTATGATATTGATGATAACATTTTCAAGCCAATTAAACCAAATGAATTTATACAAAAACCAAAATATAAATTCATTGTTTTGAGTTGTTTTAATTACAATTTCATTTCTTATGATGAACCCAATTGCCAGACACATGTCAAATTCAAATACGAGAACATTTATCCACCAAATGTTACAAACTTTTGTTTCCTAGTTCTTGAAAACAATGACAAAATTAGAATCATCAAAAAAGATGAATTTAATCCAAGAACAATGAGGAAAATTTGCGCAAGATTATGTGACTTTGATTTTGATCCAAACAATGATGATAATATGAAATGGAGATTCACATGGATTCCAATATCTCAAGATGTGACTTATATCAATGAGATTCTTTCTGATTACAAAAATCTTGATGATTTTTGTTCGATTTTCTTCAAATTTATTCGCGAAGAAAAACCAAAAGAGGATCTTAAAAATACAGTTATTAAGTATTTTCAAGATAGAGTTAACATGATAATATCAATGAGAGGTTTCTTGAGATTCCCAATGAATGGAAAGAAATTGAAAGAAGCTGCATTTTCAATTTCAGGCGTGACCAAGTTTTCGCCAGTAGAATGCATGATGTTTGAGAAATCTTTCAAAGAAAATGATGTAATTATGTTCACAAAGAATAATATTACAATAGTTAATTCAAAGAATATTGATATGAAATCTGTTGAATCATTTTCGTTTGATTTTGGTGATTTTGCAACTAATGATTATTTAGTTATTAATGAAAATCGAACATTGGATATTGATTATGCGCTTTATTTATGTTCATTTTTACCTTTATTAATCAAAAAGCAATTAATAAGTGAAGATTATGCAATAAAATTATATTCAGAATTAGAGAAATATCATCTTAGTTCTAATAATGATACAAACGAAATAATCAAGGAATTCAACAAGTCATTTCAAATGATTAAAAATATGATAACTAAAAATAATGACATTACATCAATTAATCCATCAAATGTCATCAAGAACTCAATTCCATCATTTGAATTAAGCAATCAACAAGTTATTAACCAAGTTTCAACAAATTATCAACAAAATATCCAACAATTTGTTGGATATAATCAAAATCAACAAAACACGCAACAATTTGTTGGTTACAACCAAATACAAAATCAACAAAACACACAACAATTCGTTAGTTATATTCAAACAGTAAATCAACAAGTAAATGCGCAACAATTTGTTGGTTACAATCAACCACAAAGTTACCAAAACAACCAACAGACAGAAAATACTCAACCATTTGCTAATTTTATGAATGATAATCCTTATTTGTTATAATAATAAAAATTTATCTATGTATATATGTTAATATTAATGAAATTTATTTATACAAACAAAATTAAGATATTATAATTGCTCACCAGCATCGATTTCCAATTTTTCTCCATCAGGTTTTGGAACTAAAACTTCGGAAATATCATTTTCTGGTTGAATTTCTTTTTTGCTTCTGCAAAGAACAATCACCAAAATGGAGATTCCTATTACCATTAAAATCATCAAACAAGACAAAACAATAACACTTGTCAACAGTCCATTCTTTTCTTTTTCCGCAACAACTGTACTATTATTATTAAACTCATTATTTTCAGTTATTTTTGGTGTCAAATTTGGTGTCAAAATTTTTGTTGGAATTGGAGTCAAAGATATTGTTTGTTTTGGAGTAGGGATTATTGTTTTTGTTGGATGAGGAGTAGGAATAGTTGTTGGAGAAGGAGTTGTTTGTGGTTCATGAGGAGAAACAACTCTTTGGCTGTTGAAATCTCTCATTTGACAAACCAATTTCGGATCTTGACAAATAATTGAAAGATTTCCAATGTATTTAATTTCACCTTTTCTCGAACAAAGAATTTCTTCTTCGTTTGACAATTTCAACTTCAAAACAGTTCCATTTTCAAGGCATTGAGATCTATAACATCCAGCCAATCTCTTGAAACTATTATTAGTATCCAAAACGATTTCGCTGCATGTAGAATCTTTTCCAAAAGTCATCATCGAATTTATTGATTCATTAACTAAAGTTTTTGACCATTCAGCACCGCACAAGAGTCATTCTCTCGCCTTGAGGATCTTCATGTAATCAAACACGTCAGAAGGACCGAACCAATGTGAATTATCAGAATCATACCATTCCCTTGCGCTGCAAATTTCTTTTTCATCTTGTTCTTGCGGTTTATCGCAATTTGGAACATACAAAGGAACTCCACATTCGCTGACACCTGTGTAATCGTAGTTGCAAAGATACTCTTTGTTCTTGTAAGGCGGACAGATGTAATTGTCTGGGAATTCATCAGGAGGAGTTAATGGAAAATCTGACATTTCTTTGTCAGAAAAACTTTTTCCATCGCCCCAAGCAAGTGGTTCTGCCATGGAATAGTTGGCTTCGTACCATCCTGTATCTTCAAGAAGTGCAAGAGTGATGTCGGAGATTCGTTCCGGAGGAAGTGAAATTCCTGACATAATTTCGTTGTAATAAGCTCGACCTTTGATGTGAGAACCTTCTGTACCACCTCCACCAAGGAGTTCGAGTTCTATACCTAATGGTTTTCCATTTGGTAATGTTTTTCGACCAAATCTTCTTTGAGCAACTTTAATTGCGTTTGGAGTTTGGAAAAAACGGAATTTTTTACCAGGGTATTTCGGATCTTCGTAATCTACGAACATATTCTTGTAGTTATCGCGAGTTGCTGGATCTTTCCACCTATGAAAAAGATTATTTGCAATTCCAAGCACGTGGAACGTTTCATGAACAAGTACATCGTAGAAAAATCGAACTTCGCTGTCTTTTGACAAAGGATGTTTTGGAATTTCTTTTGGATTTAAGTACATTTGGCCTTCTATTGGCCTATGTTGAGTATATTCGTATCTAGTTGCTGCTGCAGCGGCAAGAACATCTGTATCTCCATATGGTCGCGCATTAACAATGATTCGAACATCGTGTAACGAGCTCATTGATGTACTTCTATCGACTTTAAGTAGTTCGGAAAGATGCTGTTGTACATTAGCGAATGTTGCTTTAATAATACTAAGTTTTTCTGGAGTCATGATATCATCTTCAGCACATGTTTCTGTGTTATATCCATTAAACTTCCGTTCACCAACCTTTGTACATTGGTTACTATCTCTTCCGTTTTCAAGTTGATCAAGATCAAAATTAACTCTTAATGGCTGTTTCACAGTACTTAACGTGTGTTTAATTGGAACTTTCACTTCTTCTAGCTTTAGATCTTTGAACATAACATCATGCATACATCGGAAATGATCTCTATGGGCTGATAAAAGAGAAAAAACCAAAAAATCATTTAAATTTTTTTGACAAAAATTCTGAAAAGGTTAAAAATAAAAGTCCGATTTTATCTCGTGGCCTCAATATTTAGTTCGCAAAATATCATTTCCGTTCATTGATTTCCAATAATATGATGATTACAACAATCATAAATCAAAATCAATAGTAAAATAAACTTATTAGCCTTCCGTAACCACAAAATACAACTCTAATTAGTGACTGAATATAATTAGAGAAATGTACTCATCAAAAATTAATGAATTTAATGTTTTAAATTTTAATGTTGAATTGCCCTATAGTTTCTTGGGTTTATTAATATCAAAAACATTAAATTTGAATTCCATCAATTAAAACTATGAATTATTATAAGAATTTGATGAATATTTTTATTTGATAAGAAAATAGAAGATAAAATATACCAAATAAAGGGAGGAACTTCGTCGACAACAAAGGTATCGACCAAGATTGTTCCCATTATGCTTGACATATGAAGTATAGTAATAGTGTGTATGGACTCATAGAATGGTTTCGAAAAAATAAAGGTATCAACTTTAATGCAAGATATGATGAGTTGAACATCGAATAATTGGGTTTTTGTACTATTAATATTCTTTAGTCCCTAGTATATCATTGTTTCATACTAATAATGTGGATCAATTCCCTTTCAATGATCAGATACCACTTTTTTGGTCTAAAAAATGAGTTCCTCCTTTTTACCAAATAATATTTATACAATAACAAAACAATAATATATATTTCCTGAAGATTAATTTTCAGGATAATTTTTCAAAACAAAATTCAAAATTTTTGTTGAACCTCTTGCGCGAAGAATATCATAAACAGTTCTTCCTTCATTATCAGGACTATGAGGATCACCTTTTGCTCCAAGAAGCAGTTGAATCATCTTTAAAGAACCTTTTGAAGCTGCATAATGCAAAGCAGACCATCCAATCGAATCTGGAATATTGGTGTCATAGTTATTGGTCTGAAGAATCATATTTAGTATATTATAGTTAGGAATTCTTGCTGCAAGATGCAATGAAGTCAAAAATCCGGGAGCCGTTAGCGTAGGATTTAAATCTGGGAGATGCAACATGTATTCCACAATGTCAGCATGCTGATGTTTGATGGCTAAGTGAATCGGACACCATCCAGAATTATTATTATTAATTGAATGACAACCAGCGGCTATCAGCCTCTTAACATTATTGAGAGGTCCATATGCAGCTGCATAGTGCAAGGCAGTATAGCCATAATCGTTCTGGTGGTCGAGATTGAAACCTCCCTGCACCAGAATATAGTCTAGAAGGAAGTAATTGCCAGATATCGCTGCAAGAATCACTATATTGTCATTATGTATATCAAGGACAAAGGGATTCGCGCCTTTACTGACTATTAAAGTAAATAATTCCAAATTTCCAGTGAGAGCTGCTTCAAGAAGGACTGTCATCTTCTTGTGATTGATTATATTAATAGGGAATTGGGTGTTTTGCAGTAGTTTCATTGCAATTTCGATGGCTCCGTTTTGAATAGCGACATGAATAACAGAATTGCCATTAATGTCGAGTGTTCGACAATCCGCTCCTACAGAACAAAGATATTCTGTTGTTTCAAGTTGATTTTTGTATGCAGAGTAAAATATTGGAGTTTGATATTCTGAATCCTTGAAATTTAGTAAATTTATTGCTTCAATTCCTGCACATTGCAATATGCTATCGCAAAATTGTGTATTTCCGTATTGAGCAGCAATATGAAGTGCAGTAACATTATTTAAGTTTTTTTCATCTAATGAAGATCCGTTAGATAATAAAATATTGCCTATATCGGTATTTCCTGAACTTGCAGCAGCAATAAAGGCTGTATTTCCATTTCCATCAACCATATCTGGACTTGCACCAATTTCAATAAGATAATTTACTGTATTGACAGCACCATAGGAACATGCAACATTAAGAAATGGAATTGGTAATATTCCAAAGCATAAATTTCCTTCAGGAATAGAATTAAAGCTTTCATTTGGATCAATATTTGATTCTATGATTTCTGCTACTCCATCTACTTGATCTTCTTTTATTAATTCAAAGAGTTGGGCTGAAATTTCATCATCCATGCTTTTTTTCCAAAATTTTAAACGTCACTTTTGTTTTTGTGATACACTGACAATTTAGATCAGGATTTCTACAAGAGAATATGCTATACATTAGCTAGGATATACTGATTTGATAATCTATGCAATCAGAGTAGTGAAAAAATGCATTCACAATGACTTGGCAAATAAATTATTCAATTTTGAATACCAACTGCGTCATATTAATCATGAGGGAAAAACGATGGGAAATCTGGATAAAAAACCGAAAATAGTCCGAAATAAATGCTTTTAAGAAAAAATTTAGTCTGATAAGATTGTTAAGATTTTCGTATTCTACAAATGAGTTAGAGACATACATAACTATGCATAAAAGTTTTCCAGATAAGTTGACTATTTTGCACCACGTGAAATAAGAAATTTTACTATTTCTTTGTCATGATATCGTTTTGCAATTTGAAGAGCAGTTTCTCCATTTTTATCTTTTTCATTGATATAGGGTGTCCAAAGGTGCGTTTAGCACAGCGCTCTATATGAGACTATTAAAGGAGATATATGCTGATTATAAATGTATAATAAAAAATATGAATATATGTATATGATGAGTATGTTGTATTTTGGCGCCATGCCGGGATATAAAATGAATTTTGAGACAAGAGGCGGTTTCGCGGGAAATTTTGGCGGGATTTTTTTCATTTTTTTAATGAATCATAAAGAAAACATCCTCGCTCTTGCAAAAAAATGCAAAGACTGTAAAAAAATCTACGAGACATTGGTAAAATGCTTCGGTATGGATGCTCCTAGCTATTCCACTGTAACGTATCATGTTAGGATGTATCACTTCATGAACAAAAAGGCGCCCATCATAAAAATTGACAAAAAATCGCCGGATCAAAGAAAAATCAAAGCAATTCTTCAAGCGCTAGATGAAGACCCAAGAGCATCACTCAGAAGGATAGAGGAGATGACAAAGATACCACGTACAACAGTCAGTTATTATCTGCACAATTATTTGAACTACAAACTAGCGTATACACGTTGGGTTCCGCACAACCTTAATTCAGTTCAAAAAAAATCTAGAGTCCAATCTTCGAAAGAGCTCCTCTCTATATTGGGTGCGTATCAATCCAAGAAGTTTCGCTTTTTAGTAACAGGGGACGAGTCTTGGTTTCAATATGCAACAGAAGCCAAAATCATGTGGATCCCGAAGGATGAAAATCCGCAAACATTCCCGAAAAAAAAATTGACACACCAATGATGATGTTGTCGGTTTTTTGGGGCGTGAATGGCATCATCGCAATTGATATTCTTCAAAAACCTAATACGATGAATGCTCAGTATCTAATTGACAATGTTCTTACTCAAATTATCAATTCTGATGAGTTTGAGAAATCCAAACAACAAAAACAAAAGTTTGCAATTCATTTTGATAATTCAAGAGTTCACAAAAGTCATAAGGTAATGAATTACTTGGTGGAAAACAATGTCAAAGTTGTTCCAAACCCAATTTATTCACCTGATATTGCACCCTCTGACTTTTATTTATTCGGCACGCTAAAAAAGAGAGCTGAAGGACGCGAATTCGCGAGTCCAGATGATCTTGAAAATTTTGTAAGAGAGCAATTTGAGCAATTTTCTCATGATGATTTAAAGCGTGTCTTTGAAGCCTGGATCGATCGCTGCGAACGCGTGATTGAATCCAATGGTGATTATATTTAAATAAACTTTATATATATGTAACTTGTTTATTTCTATTCGCAGTATTCAGGTTTGTGCTAAACACACCTTTGGACACCCTATATTTGCACCATGTAAAATAAGAAATTTTATCATTCTTTTGTTAAATTTATATAGTGCCATATGAAGAACGGTTGTTTTATCTTTATCTTTTTCATTGATATTTGCACCATGCGAAATAAGAAGTTCTGCTATTTCTTTACTATTATTCGAGGTTGAATGATGAAGAACGGTTCTTCCATATATATCTTTTTCATCGATTGCCGCACCATGTAAAATAAGAACTTCTGCTATTACTTTAAGTTCATTCATTACTGCGTTGAAAAGAGCGGTTTCACCAAACCTATCTTTTTCATTGATATTTGCACCATGAGAAATAAGAAGTTCTACTGTTTCTTTATTATTATATCTGGCTACTTTATGAAGAGCGGTTTCTCCGTTATTATCTTTTTCATTGATATTTGCACCATGTGAAATAAAAAGTTCTGCTGTTTTTTCAATAGTGTGTTCTACCGCATAATGAAGAGCTATTCTTCCATATTCATCTTTTTCATTGATATTTGCACCATGTAAAATAAGAAGTTCTGCTGTTTCTTTATTATTTTGCTTTGCCGCATAATGAAGAGCGGTTAAACCATAATTATCTTTTTCATTGATATTTGCATCATGTGAAATAAGAAATTCTACTGTTTCTTTATTATTTTGCTTTCCCATATAATGAAGTGCGGTTTCACCATTACTATCTTTTTCATTGATATTTGCACTATGCGAAATAAGGAGTTTTGCTATTTCTTTATTATTGTGTTCTGCTGCATAATGAAGAGATATTCTTCCATATTCATCTTTTTCATTGATATTTGCACCATGTGAAATAAGAAATTCTACTGTTTCTTTATTATTGTGCCTTGTTGAATAATGAAGAGCGGTTTCGCCGTTACTACCTATTTCATTGATATTTGCACCATGTGAAATAAGAAGTTCTGCTGTTTCTTTATGATTGTGCTTTGCCGCATAATGAAATGCTGTTTCACCATATCTATCTTTTTCATTGATTTTTGCGCCATGTGAAATAAGAAGTTTTACTATTTCTTTATTATTGTGTTCTGCTGCATAATGAAGAGCTATTCTTCCATATTCATCTTTTTCATTGATATTTGCACCATGTAAAATAAGAAGTTCTGCTGTTTCTTTATTATTGCATCGTACAGCATAATGAAAAGCGATTTCACCATAATTATCTTTTTCATTGATGTTTGCACTATGCGAAATAAGGAGTTCTGCTGTTTCTTTATTATTGTGTTTTACTGCATAATGAAGAGCGGTTTCACCATAATTATCTTTTTCATTGATATTTACACCATGTGAAATAAGAAGTTCTGCTGTTTCTTTGCTATTATATTTTGCTGCATAATGAAGAGAGGTTTCACCATAATTATCTTTTTCATTGATATTTACACCATGTGAAATAAGAAGTTCTGCTGTTTCTTTGCTATTATATTTTGCTGCATAATGAAGAGAGGTTTCACCATATCTATCTTTTTCATTGATTTTTGCACCATGTGAAATAAGAAGTTCTGCTGTTTCTTTGCTATTAGATTTTGCTGCATAATGAAGAGCGGTTTTTTATCTTTATCTGTTTCATTGATTTTTGCACGACGTGAAATAAGAAGTTCCATTGTTTCTTTATTATTGTGCTTTGCCGCATAATGAAGAGCGGTTAATCCGTAATCATCTTTATAATTGATTTTTGCACCATGTAAAAGGAAATATTCGCAAAGGGAAGCTATTCCAAATATCGCCGAATAAACAAAACATTTGTTAAAATCATTTGTTTGATCGAAATAAACTAAAAATGATTCGAGATTTTTGTGTATTCCGCAAGAATATAAATCAATCTCAAAATTGTGTTCATTCATCAAAAATGTAACAAAATCAATGTTATGTGAAATAATTGCATATTCCATACATTTTTTGTCTGGTTTTTGATATTTCAAGCATTCACTCATTATCTCTTGATTTCTTCCTAAAAATGAAAATTCTAGGCATGTTTGAGTTATTTCTGACTTAAAATTCGTTCTTAATAACTTGAAACAATCAACTGATCCATGGTAACAACATAATTCAAGTAATGAATAACCTTTATAAGTTTCTGGATATAAAATGTTATTAAGACGTTGATCTTTATAATGATTACCGCTTTCAATGAATTGTATGAATCTTTCTTTGTCATTATCCATAATCGCCTTGTAAATTGTTTTTTCCGAATAAATATCGAGATCACGTTTATTAATATTTTCGACATTTTCAGATTTATCTAATGTAATTCCATATTCATTATAAAATAGGAAGTTAGATATTGGTGGAATGCTGCTGACCTGTTTTACATTGTAATCATCAGAAATACGTTTAGCAAGATATAAATATGACTTTGCATAGCGATTATTATACTGAATAATATTTAAAATATCTCTTATAATATTTTTTGGGAGATGTTTCTTTGAATCAATCAATGCTGATCTGATCATTTTGTAAATCGAGTTTAATTCTTCTTCTTTTTCCGTTTTCAGCCGGTACAATGCAATATATGAATCTATATAGTCTTTGTGAGTACTTCGCAATTCACTATATTTATTTGATTGAATGTCTTTACCAGACATTAAAAAATTTAAAAGTCAAATATTCCATTTTAAGTAATAAAATATCTATGATATTTATTATGGAAAGTTCTATGCTGTGTATTCGGAAAATAACGACCACAAAGATTTCCGATACCGTATGTAAAATTTTCCACCGAAAATTGAAAGGGTCTGGCTGTCAGAAAATTACGTAAAGTATGAGAAAAAACATGTAAAAAGCTGATATTTAATGTACGCTGGAATTTTTCATTAAAATTTTTAGAAAATTTTTTTCAACCGAATTTTTTATTTTAAAATTAATACAACATCCTAACACTGACACAATAGACATTAATGGACTTAGCGAAAAGTATAAGTTTTATACTGAAGCCTTGGTTCCATTTGTTCATTTAAGAACAACAAATGATGAAGGCATTTTTCACTGCCCTTGATAGAACAAAAGATGTATTGGAATGTGCAGTTTATTCTCCATTGTTTGTTCTCAAGGGTATTAATGTCAACTCTCTATCCAAGAACAAAGAAATAAGCATTCTTCTAAGTACTGTATTTTCGATGTCCATGCCGATTATTGAATTTTTAATTTCAAATGGAGTTGATGTAAATGGAAAGGATAAACATGGACACAGTTCACTCTTTTTTGCTTCACAACACAACTTGAAAGATATTGCAAAACTTCTTATATCTAAAGGTGCAAACATAAATGATAAAGATGGCGATGGATGCACTCCTCGACATTATGCAGCAGATTCGAATTACAAAGAAGTTATATAAGTTCTTTTAAAGAATGGGGCTAATGCAAAAGCTCGAATGGTGGATTTGGGCACTCCATTTCATCATGCAGCTATGAATATTATCAAGTTTTATCATTACTTGTTCGACACGGTGTTGAAATTGATGCAAAAAATGCAGCAGCAAGTGATATTATAGAAAATGCAGAACTGTTGTTTATGCTTGGTGTAAATGTTAATCCTTTTGTTTAAAAATAGAAAGGATTTTTCTGATAGTAGATACAAATTAGAACTTAATTCAAAGAATGCGATATTGAGAACTCGAAACTTAATATATCATGAAATTATTTATAATTTGAATACATGTATGGCATATAATTATTTTCTTTATTCTTATCTTCATGTTCTATTCATAGCAACTGGCTATTATTTATGAAGCTATACTTTTTAAAAGTTGTAATAGACTTGTTTTTTTTTTATTAATCTGTCTTTGAAAGATCACAATATCATCTAATTTTTATCTCCGCCTATTAAAATGCGTATATATGTTTTGTTGTTTGGATATTTGCAAATATTCTTTTAGTGGGGTATGTATAAATTTTGAATCTGAATATTCATCATATATAACAAAATTACCTTCATATATGTTTTTATCAACGTATGTGTCAAATATAGAAGCCGAATAACCATCATCAATAGTAAACCAGAAATTATATTTGTTATTATGAATACAACATCGATATATCATAATATTTGTCAATGTACAATTTATTAATGCACCAGATACACAACAAATGTCATAAAAATAACTATCAGTCACCTCAAGCAAATCAGTTAAATTAAAAGCCCAAATGCAATTTCGTGTTACATTATTTGAAACTAGATTTGTCAATTTATAGAATGCTGTTTGAAATGATTCAAATACTTGAATTCCATAATCAGCAGATAATTTATTATTTGTAATATTACAGCTATTAATTATTTGATAACCGCCATTCATCGAAATTATAGAAATTGCATTGCCATTATTACATTCAAAAACAACTGATTCCATGAAAAAATTATTGCATTCATTGTTGATTTTTGAAAAGATGGCTTGTGATTTGGAACATGTTGATTTAGATATAGAATTCTTTTTCTGAATAAAATTACCACCTTCAATGTAAATAGAACCTCCTTCATATTGACTATAACAACCAACAAATAAGCATTCTTCAACAAATATTTTGATATTTTCATCCACTTTTGCATATATTGCGCCATTTTCCCTCTGATTATAAAATTTGCATTCATGAAAATAGTAATTCTTATCTTTTTCAAGTTCTCTATAGCTTTCAGAACCATCTATAGTAACATAACTTGATTCATCAGGATATGCATCATTCCATGATAAATGAATAGCGAAATTTTGTAAATGAAATAAATTTTTCTTTAATGCATAAGAAATATATTTCATAATGATATCAAATTAATTCATATGATGACTTATTAATCAAATGATCTAGTATAACCCATTTTCAAACATTTTTAAAAGAATTATTAGCATTTCGATCATCGATGAATGGAAAATCATGTTGACTCAGCCAATAGATTGAATATAAGTTTATCTGTTTTCTTTTGGAACGTGTCTTTGATACATAAGTAAATACAAAAGAATTTAAACGGTAATACTTTTTCAAAAGCAATGATCAGAAAACCGTGACAATTGCTCTCAAATTTGAAGAATATAAAAAAGAGGTTTCAGATCCATTTACAATGAATCACTTTTCTAAATGATGGATTCAATATTTAAAAGTAAATCGTTCAAAAAAAATTGAGAATTTGATAAAATCAAGCGATAAAAAAATTATTGCTAATTTTTTTACTTAGACTTTGGTGTAGTGCTGAGCTCCTTTCCAGTGAAATTGAAGATAAGGTTTCCAGCATTAATAATTGCTTCTGCAGCTCTGCGAGCAGCTTCCTGAGTTCTTGGAGACTTTGGAGTTCTTGGAGATCTAAGAGGAGTTGGTGTATTTCCTCCTGTGTTTCTTGAGTGGACTGGAGTAACACTCTTTGCTGGTGTTGCTGTCTTTGTCTGTACTGGTGTAGCTGGTGTTGCAGGAGTAGCTGGAGAATTCATGATACGTGGTGACTTTGAAGGTGTTGCCTTCTTGATTGAATTCTGCTTTTCCTTGATTGCTGCAACTCTTCTCATTCTTTCTGCTTCCTTTGCCTTTCTCTCTGCTTCAAGACGTCTTCTCAATGCTTCGCGTGGATCTAATCCTTCTTCACTTTCAGCAGCTGGTGTTTGTACTGGTGTCTTTATTTCTGGTGTCTTGCGTGGTGTAAATGCCTTGTTTGAAACTGGTGTTGCCATTGATGATCTCAATGGTGTCTTACGTGGCGTTGCCATGCGCTCTGCATCTTCCTTAACAACGCGTTCATGTTCATCCTTGAGTTGTTCGTTGAGTTCAATTCTCTTCTGGACGGCTGCTCTGTATCTGGCATCGAGGTCATCACCGCTGATTGGTGTTGATGGAGTTGACTTCTTTGTTGATGATGGTCTGGCTGGGCTTGCAACTGACTTTGTTGGTCTTGGGGATTTCTCTGAAATGACTTCTGATGGATGGTCAGCCTTGATTGTAACACGGGTATCGTTTTCTGGTTTGGCTGATGCTGCCTTTGACTGTGGCTTTGTTGATGGAGCAACGAAGATTTCATCTTCATCTTCATTTTCAGCTGCGAACTCGTTCATATCTAAGTCGCCAATTGCACGCTCTCTAACAACCATTTCTTCTTCTCCTTCAACTGCCTCTTCATTATTTCCTGGAGTACGCTTTTCATCTTGTGCGGACTTGGCAGCCTTTGATTCTTCTGCCTTCTGTGCGTTCTCAATCCTCTTTTCTTCGGCCTTTCTCTGCTGCTCAGCTGCCTTCTTGGCTTCTTCCTGGACCTTCTTCTCTTCAGCAACTTTCTTCTCTTCAGCTGCCTTCTTGGCTTCTTCAGCTGCCTTCTTCTCTTCAGCAATTCTCTTTTCTTCCTGAACCTTCTTCTCTTCAGCTGCCTTCTTTTCTTCAGCAATTCTCTTTTCTTCAGCTGCCTTCTTTTCTTCAGCAATTCTCTTTTCTTCAGCTGCCTTCTTTTCTTCAGCAATTCTCTTTTCTTCAGCTGCCTTCTTCTCTTCAGCTGCCTTCTTGGCTTCTTCCTGGACCTTCTTCTCTTCTTCAGCCTTCTTTTCAGCGGCAATTCTTTCTTCTTCTTGTCTCTTTTGTTCAGCAGCAATTCTGGCTTCTTCTTGTCTCTTCTTTTCAGCAGCGATTCTTTCTTCTTCAGCTTTCTTGGCAGCGGCAATTCTTTCTTCTTCTGCCAACTTTTCGGCCTCTTCAGCCTTCTTGACTTCTTTCTCTTGATCTTGTTTGTTGAAGCCGTAATCTTCAAGGAGTTCTACGCCTTTCTTTGTATTCTTTTCTGTTCCAAGGCCTTGGAGGTAGCACTGTGCGAGCATCTTGATTGCGTCTGGATCGCCTGTTTGTTTAACTGCTTCTTGCATGTATCTGAAACCAAGTGCTGGATCTGAATCAAAGTTGTTCATTGGGATAAGGTGCATACGACCAAGAGCGACCAATGACTGTGAAACACTTTGCTTTGCAAGGTGGATGAAGATGTCTTCAGCGAGAGATGGGTCGTAATCTGGTGAATTTGGTGTGGAAATGTATTCGGCGATGCGGGCAAGAGATTCTTGGTCCTTCTTCTCTGCAGCCTTTGCATACCAATAGTATGAGGTAGCTGTGTTGTTCAATCCGTAGTAGTAATCACCGAGAGCTCTGCATGCTGGGATGAATGACATGTTGGCTGACTTGTTCATCCAGAACTCGTAGTAGTAAGTAGCATTTGATTGCTTTGCTATGAGAGCAAGGTTGTAGGCTGTCTGTGGATCTACGTTACCTCCTGTGAGTAAGATTGGCCATTTTGGATCCTGGGAAACAAAGGAGATCTCAATAATATCGGAGACGTCTATTGCAAGCTCAGAGATTCCGGAAAACCATTTTCCTCCAATAATTGGGGAAAGAATGTGGACGTTATCAACCTCAAAGCTATCAGCGTCAAAACGACCATTATTCTGGATCATGATGGTAATAAGCTCGCCATCTTGAATCCAATTGAAGTTGTCAGTATTAAATTCGATATTGGCAAGAAGGCCTGCACTGATTTGCTTAGCTAAGAAGTCTTGCCAACCTGATGGTTCAACATCGTTATTTTGGTTGTTGGCTGGCGCTCCATTGCCATAAAAATTCTTGGTACGAAGATCATAAGCAATATCACCAACAGCTCTCCTCGCTTGGAGGAACTTGGACTTTGTTGGTGCCATAAAAAATTTTGAAAAATCCGCATGAATTATTGAGAGCACATTTAAATTTTTTTATCAAAATTTAAAATTTGCAATGGCAATCAAATAATAGAACATTTTTCCCTAACTCTGGTTGCATCTGAAATTTTCGAGAATGAATAATAATAACATACATTAAATTTAGAGCTTATAATCTATTGGTCATTAATTGAGATATTGTTAGGTCTAATTTTGTGAAAAACCGCTTTACATGTCTCAAACTTTTTAAAAAACTGACATTTAGTTTTAATCATTGTAATAACTTTTCATACAGCACATGGATAAATATATAAAGGAGCATATTAATCCGAAATCGCTGGTTTCAGATGGATTTTATTTTGAACAAATTCTTGAGGGTAAGAGGTCGCTTATTTGATGAATGAGAGCCGTTCAAAAGCTCATATAATCAGTGATTTTATATTTTTATATTAACGATAAATTTCATCAAACAAATAACGCATGCAAAATCAATGATTACATTGATTTTGATTTTCAGTATCATACATGGCTTTCACATAATTTCTATGATCTATAGCATTAATAATGCAGCTAGAAAATGCTTCTTTCTAAGACCAAATAAATAATGTCATGCTGTGGCTACTAATTTCACAAAAAGATAATATGCATGCAATCAAAACTTTTTTATTAAACAAAAAATCTATATCTATCATTACAAAGATTTTGCCATTTTGATATTGAGAATGTTATATATATTCAATGACAATTATATGTACTATCTAGATTGGATGAGATCTTGGAATCACAATTTGTGATAAACACATAATTTTTTGAAAATTTAATTAATTTTCAGATATTCCTTCAGAAGGAATGTAGAAATGGCAGAAATGAAGTAAAAAGGATATCTTTGCTTAGTATCGTATAACTCTCTTATAAATCTAAACAGTGTTATAAGATTGATTTCTGAATTAAATATCAAAATCTTTGGTATTACAACTAAAATAAAGTCAATAATCATAACAAGACGAATTGATGATTTCATTTCAATATGAGCAAAATAAGATGTAAGAACCACTAAAATAGCAGTAACAAAGTAGGTATAAATATCATATTTTTGAGCTGGGGTATATTTCTTTTGCTTTTTGGATGAAGGGCCAAATTTGTATAACCATCATTTCGTCTTTCTTCTTGAGTTTTTGTTCTTGTGAATTTCGAATCGTCTTTTTTAACTTCTTTCCTAAGTTGAATAATATATTCACTTTCTTTTGCCTTCAATGGGATTTGTTCTTCATTTTTAACAGTTTTCTCTTCCTGTTTGGGTTCTTTTTCTCCTTGGGTTATATTGACATCTATTTTTCCTTCAGTATTGTTGTTAATTTCTGAATTTTCATGTTTTTGAAAACCTAACAAGGCAGCAGGGATTCTCTCTTCCCTATTATTATTTAAGATCTCAACCTCCCTTTCTTTCTTTTTGGCAAGTAACCTCTGTCGACGAGCTTCAGCGGCACTAGCATCCATTTCATGTCTGTTTTTTATAATATCCGTATTTTATTCAATTTTTGATAGTGAATTTCGAAACAGACGGATATATTAATAAATATACTAACCTATGAAATCTTGTAGGATAATACACAAATAAATTTAAATTAAGATCTGTTCAACGAAGGTGGATAAATATTTTTTATTTTTGTTCATTTATTTTTGAAAGATGGATTTTGTTCGGGTGACACCTATGACAGTTGCTCAAGAAACAGCAAGAAAAAGACTTGTATATACGCTTATACTAGCTTGTGTTCCAATTGGTGCTATCATGCTTATAAAAATCAAAAGTTTTATTCATTTTCTTAAATCAAAACCAGGAATCCTCGCAATACTAGTAGGAATAGGAGCTCTTGTATATGCACATATAGAACCTTTCTTCTTAAGATATACATACAAAGAAATTGCAGTTCCAAAACAATTTAAGCCATTTACAGTTGTTCAATTAACTGATATTCATTTTCAATGGCCATATCCATACGTAACAAAAAAGAAACTTGCTTCCATCGTCGAAAAAGTAAATGAAATTAATCCTGATTTCATTTTCTTAACAGGTGATTTCATTTCGAGATATAGGACTTACAACATTTCGAAGTATAATACAGAAACCATTGCTTTTTATCTCGGGCAGCTTCGTGCGAAAAGAGGAATCTACGCAATCCAAGGAAATAACGATAGGTGCGCTGGCGATATGCTTTTAAAGGCTTTCAAAGAAAATGGAGTTAGAATGCTCATGAATGAAGGCATCATTGATGATGATATTTCGATTACAGGAATTTTATCCAGCAAAAACATCGATATATGCAATACTTGGCTTAACCAAACTAAGATCCCAGATGCACCTCTTAAGATTTTATTATCACATCAGCCTGATACAGCTCTTGTTACGTATCCTTTCTTTGATCTTCAATTCAGTGGTCATACTCATGGTGGTCAATGCATTGCCCCATTCGGAATAGGTCCAATATTGCATCCAAAGATGGGACATAAGTTTATTGTCGGTGTTTATAAGATAGGTAACATGATTCTTCATGTTTCAACAGGAATTGGCATTTCTCCATTACCAAAACCTTTGGTTAGATTTAATAATATTGCAGAAGTATCCGTGATTCGTGTTGTTCCTGAATAACTGTTCATATTTCTGGGATATCTTTAATTTATTTCACTATTATATTATAAAACCATAATATTATGTTTCAATCATGAATTTCTACAATTTTTATTTTTATTGAATCCAAATGAAAGACATCAAAAGTGAAAAATACAAATATGTGTATTGAAACTGAAATGATGGACATTGGAATATCTGAATGTTAGTAATTCTAATGAATCCATTTCCATAATGACCAATTTCAGTTCCTCCTGTCGGCCTTGGCATTTCATGCAATCCGTCTATCATTACAGTCCTATAGAATTGATGACCACTGTAATGCGTAGTTTGTTTCTTTGCAATGATTATGAGTAAAAAAGAATGGAAAATATGGGTATTGAGAAACTCAAATTACACTGTATAGCTTTATTATTTTCACTGTATTGATCTGTTGTCTCGAGAATTGGTATTATTAGATTTTGATATCAAATTACAGAAAATTTACACTTTTCCGACGTTTTGTCAGGGGCGCGATGCGACCCAAAAATGTCGGAAAAGCGTAATTCTCAGGTATATGATTATTTTTGCTTTTAATACCGAACAGCATTTGAATCAAAAATAATCGTATGTCTGAGAATTTTTATTTGACATCAAAAATTAGAATAAGCTTACATTAAAAAAGATATAACATTATTATAATAAATTTTTAATAATTTTCTTTGACTGACATTTCTGGTTCCACAGATACTTGAGCATTAGCGTTTTCAATTGGAGCAAGCCAATCTGTGTAAATATATTTCCTATCCTTGAGCTGCTTGCCAATATCACAGCATTTACTATATATTTCTTTGATTTTTTCGTCATTTTCTCTTTCAAAATTGTTTAAATCTGTTTCATCAAATCCTTTGTCTTTAAACATTTGTTTTATTGCGTCTCTTCCTTCTTGCAGTGCCTTTTCTTTGTTCTCCTTTGTAACTGTTTCGTAATCTTCAATTTCAAGTTCATCCATGTCAGCTTCGATTTCTGCGTATTCATCGAGTTCCTTATAGTAATCAAGCTTGCTTTTAATGAACTTATAATCCTTTTCATCATAATTAGGAACAATATCTGTTCCGTTTAGATCTGTAGCTCCAAATGATTTCTTTTCATGCTCAATTTCGAGACCTGAACTTCTATATACATTAATTGAACTCAAAGCTTTGCTTCTTCCGTAATCTTTCGAAATCAAATTTGGATTCTTAATACTGTTGATGTAATAGCTTACGCCACCATAGCAAAGTACACTTTCTGTCATTGTATTGTAACATTTTGCGTCAGTTGTCGCGGGAATTTGTTTTTCAGAACGGTTTTTTTCAATTAATTCTGAAATAAAGCTTTTTGCAAATGGATTTCCTAATATTTCGATATGGTAATCGAAATCATTTCCAATAAACTCAGCAATCTTCTCTTTGAGAACTTTTGAAATTTGTTTATAGTATTTTGTTTTTTCAATGTCATCTCTTTTGACTTGTAGGTTAATATCTTCTTGTATGAGCTTAAAGTTGGATAATTTCCAGTCCATCATGTCTTTTTGGCACTTTTCAACAGCATTTTTGTAAGATCTTGATCCAATCTTCTTAGAATAGATTTTCCTCATCTTTTCATCACCTATTTGCTGGGAAATTACATCAGAAAAACACTTTAAAATGTTTTTATTTCCGATTTCGATGAAACTGTAGTTTTGGTACTCAAAATCGTCTTTATATGTGGCAAACTTGTAGCACTGAATACCAAGGCTTCCAATATCAAATACAATATACTTGATTTCGTAATCTACATCGACTAAATTAAAATATCCGTGAACTATTGCATCAAATGAGTTTATTGGAGTAATTGAGACACCAGCAACCTCTGCAGCTTTGGCAAATTCAGCTACTTCTTCTTCTGGCCACCATGCTGGAATAATTGTGTAAAAATGAGTGGATCCGTTTGATTCATCTGATAATTTCTTAAAGAATGATGCAAGAGCTGTTTGTGGACTGATTAAATATGTATCAGTTTTATCCTCAAAATAATACTTCTTTTTGTATAAAAAATGATGTATAATATTTCTAAATGTGGAATTTTCGTTCGCTTGGGATGTATCTTCATTGCCAAAAGTGATCTGTCTTTCACTAAAAATAAGCAAAGTTGAGATAACTTTGTTGTTGTAGATATTAAATATTACCGGTTGTCCCTGTTTCGATTGATATGCGACTGTTTTTGTATTTCCAATGTCCACAATTAGATTAACATCATCAATCATCAAAATTTTCCAACAAAAAAATTGTTGTCAAATTTTAATGAAAAAAAATGTAGACTTCATATTGGCTGTGAAAAATCACAATTATCGTTAACATTCTTCCAAGAAATTTTTATCGTTCTAATGAAATATTGATATCCTAGATATCTAGACCTGCAATCCTTTAATTAATGGAATCAGATAAAGTTTGATCAGAAGAAAGCAAACTCTATTAGATTTTCATAAAATTGATACCAGCAGTCTAAGTTACAGCCATTTTTTTTTAATTTGAAAAAACATCACATTTGTTTGTTAATTTATTTTATTGTGCATTATATTGAACATTAGCAAATCTTTTATAATGTATGGAAAATGAATATTTGCAGATTCAATTTTTGATTTTTATTTGTTCATAATTCTCTCATGTTTCTCATGTTCTAATAAAACTCTTTTGATAAAAATAATAAATACAAACATTTATATCGAGTTAACAAAACATTAATATTATTATTCTAAATATTGTTCAACAATATTCACTAGATGAAGAGCAATTCGCCTTGATATTGTTGGTTCATCATTTGAGTTAATAAATAAATCTAGCATAAACATTTCATCTTCAGAAAAATTATTTTGAACGATATCTTTCATTTTTTCTGGGATTTGGGAAGAAATATCCAGTAATATCCCTATTATTATATAAAGCACGTCGGGGAATTTTTTAGTTCCATAAGTCACTTCAAAAATCTCTTTAATTAAGTGATTTTCGCAAACATTATCAATAATACCCGCAACATTGGTAAAAGACTTTAGATAAGCTGCAATAATACATGCCGAATACAGTTTCTGCTTATTTGTACCTTCAAACAGCATTTGCAAGGATATTTGATAAAATCCTGATCCAATGAATGCTGCTACAAAAGCATAATTATTTACTGTTAAGAAGTAAATAGATTTTAAGAAATTTAGTTGTGCTTTTATTGGAGAATTTTGAAATCTTGCTTCAATCCATTGATCAGGGAATCTTTGCACGAATTGCGATAAAGCATCTTTAATAATGTTGTATTGTTCTTCCGGTAAATTGCAAAAAGGTAAATCACAATAAGTTTGAGAAAGAAATTTGATTATTTTTGAAACACAAATTTTTTGTAAATCTGTCATTCTTTCATAAAATCCAAGCATTACATCATATATATTTGATTTTTCTCCAAGTAGATGTAATGTCTGTGCTAATTCTTTTTTATTCGCAATATAAATTGCAATTTGGCCAGAAATTCGTTCTAAATTATCGCCAGAGAAGCTATCATAGAGTTCCCCAAATGTTATGATGAAATATTCGAACTTGATTGATCTATAAAAATCTTTTTGAGCAATTTTGAAAATGGCATCATTAACATCAAGTAAATTCTCTATTTCTTGTTGAGATACCCTTTGGAATTTGATTTTATCATAAAATGAGGAATAAAATGAACGAAAGAAATCAATATTGCATAAAATATTCAATGATTGAGAACTTCCAAGTATAAATTCGACTAAATAGTCTTTCATAATATCTGTAAACTCGCTATATGAAAAAACATCCTTTGATAGATCAAAAAAATCAGTGAAATGAGCAAAATCTTCAAAATTATCGTAGTATGAAAGTGATACATCTGGATTACATGCATTAAATTTGGTAATTACTTTAAGTGAATAAAGAGCAACTTCTAAATCGCTTAAATCACGAGATCTTTCATAAAATATTTCAATTTTGTCGTCATTAATTGATGTTAAGTTATCATAGTTCAACAATGTTGCACAAACAGATAAATATGTATCCCTATCTGCAATGTTAACGTTGAGTAAATCTTGAATACTGAAAACTTCATCCTCAGATTGTAGATTGGTACTAGAAGACGATGCACCTGGATTTGTAATATGGACAGTGGTAACATTAGGTTCGTTTCCCAAATCCATTTATCAAAACTCTGTAAAAAAAGAAAAATATGAGTTTGGATTTTTTACGGGCGTATTTTAAAATCTATATTCTATATATCTTTTCTTATCTACCAAAATTTTATGAATTGACATAATCAAACTTTAATTGGCAAAGTTCCTCTTGCAATTATATTTTTTAACGGAAAATTGAAAGAAAAGAGACATTTGATCTTTGGTATATAGCTCAAAAATGTCTATATTTTAAATCAGATACATAAAATAAAAAGTTAATTTATCAATAGCTGAATATAAAAACATTTTTATTGAATATAATATAAATAACAACATAGGTTTGAAGAGTTTTTGGCTGCATCATTGTGGAATGCATCATGTCAAAGAATTTTCAATATTATTAAAACATGTTAAAGAAAAAGCAAATTAATGATCACTCATTCGCTTTCCTTGGATTAATTCCGTATGATAAAGTATCGTAGAGTTTCCAAATTGCAATTGAGCAGAAAATTATTGAAATTATTGAGTTTGAAAAAATAGAGGTTCTGGTGGATTGGTTGATGTAAATACTGATTAGTAAAAATAGTGATCCTAGGGCATAAGCAGGTTCAAATCTGTAAATTCCAAATGCAGCCAGTAAAAGGGCAAAAATAGAGAGGAAATCAAGTCCATCTTTGGATTTTGGTCGGTCTCCCTTTAATGGTTGGATGTCTCTTTGGCTTCTTTCGGGCACAATTATTTCAATCTTTTTACCCATTTTTGTAATGATCGTATTTTTTTTATTACTCTCAATTTTTTGACATAACATGAATTAATATAATTCACTATTCTTTTAGAGGTATATTTGACTACCCCGTATACAAGTCAAATGGTCCCAAATTTAGAATGCATGAGAAATAAGATATTTGGAGTGTTATTGAACCACCAAGTTTCGACGACAGGGGAAGTTTGGTCATTTAAACATCCTGGCATTTTTATGTCGAATTTAAATCTTGATTTTCAAGCATCAGCCCAAAATATTCAGGAGTATATTGATAATGAGACACTGTTCGACCTTTTTGAAGCTGATGCATTGCAAGAAATCCTTGATTTAAGTTCATTAAACGTTACCGAATTTCAAAATGTGGTTAAACTCGGTTGTGACAAATATAAATCACGTGAGCTCTATCCAATCATTAAAGGAGTTAATATTTCAGATCAACCAGTCCCTAAAAATGCAATTTTGCTTCTTCAGATTATTCGTAAAAAGCTTCACATCAAAGCATTAGATCTGGCAATCACATGTCTTGAAAACAGTCAAACATTGTCTAATCAAATCAATCAAATCAAACTCCAACTTAATTCAAACCCTGAAAGTGCGATGAAAGCATTTGGATTCACTGATTTCGAAAGTGTTTACAAGCATTTCGAAACTCTTTGTGATAAAGATGATATAACAGCAATCCGTCTTTGTTGCATTGCTGGTTTAAGCGAAGTCAGAGACCCAGAATATGGTAGAACTATTCTTATTTATTCTGCATATAAGGGCAATGGTAAACTTGTTCGATATCTTGTTGAAGGAGGCTGCAATTTGAATGCAGTCAACAACAATGGGAACAATGCTGTTATTATTGCTGCTGGTTTCAGTGATGTGGAAACTGTAAAATTTTTAATTGAAAGTGGATTAGACAAAAATTCACGCGGTGAGAAATTTGGATATTATCCAATAACTAATGCTTGCTGGGGAGGTAATGTTGATATCATTAAATATCTTCTTTCTATTGGATGTGATATAAACTCAGTTAATTATGATCAAGACTCATGTTTGCTGATGGCGGCAAGTAATGGTAAACTTGATGCAGTAAAATTATTAATTTCTCTTGGTGCTGATAAGAATATGAAGGACAAATATGATAGAAATGCAATTGTTCTTGCTTCTGCTAATGGTCATGCAGAAGTTATTAAATACCTTCATTCTATTGGATTTGATGTAAACTCAGTTAGTTCTGATCAATACTCATGTTTGCTGATGGCGGCAAGTAATGGTCATTTAGATGCAGTAAAATTATTAATTTCTCTTGGTGCTGATAAGAACATGAAGAGTAAATATGGAGATGATGCAATTGCTCTTGCTTCTGCTAATGGTCATACAGAAGTTATTAAATATCTTCATTCTATTGGATCTGATGTGAACTAAATTGATAATAAACAAATTTCATGTTTGCCTTTTACATTAAAATTACTTATTTCTATTTGTTCAAAAAAAATTATACTTGCAAAAATGGTTTTGACGCTCTAATGTGGGCTTGAGAAATATAACTAAAGATTATTTATATACAAAGTTTATTTCGCATTTCATTCGTCAAAGTCATCACTTTCATGATTTTCCTCTTGTCGTTGGTCTGATTCAAAATCAGAATCATCATTCTTTTCAAATGAGTTGTTTTGTTCATTTTCTGCATTATTTTTGCTTTCTTCTTTTTGTTCTGAATCAATTTTTGTATCATTTCTTTCTGATTCAAAATCATTTTCTTTTTCTTCTTTATGATCTGAATCAAAGCTTTCATTATGTTCTGAGTCAGATTTATCATCATGATCTTCTTTTTCATCATTATCTGATGAATCAAACTCACTGTCTGTTTTTGTATCTTTATTATGTTCATCTGGTTCGGCGTGGACCGCTTCTGTTTCAAAAATATTAACATTACCTTCGTCAATTGGTTCAGCTGGTTTCAATGCTTTATTTTGAGGATTCTTCGATGGACTTTCTTTAGGAGCAGCTGGTTGATGGTGATTATTAGTGTGCTGTACTTTTCTGTTTATCATCTCATTAACTTTGCTCATTGTATCGAGCTGATGCTTAAGTTTTTCAATTTCTAGTTTCATTTCTTTTTCTGGAGTTGGATATTTCTTTTCAATAGTTTTTAATTCATTAGCTAAACTGTTGTTTTTCTTTTTCTCGGCTCTATATTCATTTTTCAATGCAATGAATTGTTTTTTAAGTTCATCCATTTCATTCATCCGCTGCTTGAACTCATCTGACTCCAATCTAATCTCAATTTCATCGTGTTTTCTTTTAATTTCTTCCACATCATGTTTTAGTAAAGAAATTTGACGTCTTTGGAAAACTATGTCTGTTTTGATTGATATTTCTTTCTCTGGAGCAAACATAACTGTAAGCTCGTTGTATCTTTTTTCTAATCCTTCAATAACTTCACTTAATTTTGCAATCTTAGCTTCAGCTGCGTATCGACGCTTAGATGTTTCTGAAACTTCTTGATTTGAAAATCTTTGTTGAAATGCAATTGCATCATCAATCTTTTTAGCTTTCTCTTGAATAGATACATTAAGAGATTTCTTTTTCTCTTTAATTTGTTCTTCTAAATACTGTAGTTGGTTGACAAGATCCGTCTTTTCTGCTAAAAGAACTTCTCTACTAGTGTATTCGTTATCAATTTTCTTTGGTCTCCGTGGGCCAACTGAAATTTTCGCGAGAAAATCTGACTGCGGATTGTTTGAGCTATCTGTATTAAAATTGTCTGCTGTTTGAATTCTATCAAGTGAAAGATTAGGTATTTTGTTGGTGTTACTCATTTTTAACGAGATTTTACAGTTTACCTTGAATTTTTTGTTAGACCCCTAAATTAATGTAAGAACATTTCTTATCCCTTTTGGGATTAGTATTTAATCAAAAAACTTTATATGATCAGATTTAACTAATATAATCTAACAAAAAAGTACAAATATGCTATATGTATTTCCAATCTGTCTATTGAGGGAAATTTGCAAGACAGGAACCCACTACATAAACAGTTTAGCTACTAGTATATCATAATTAAGCTACATTAGAAATATACTTAAATTTACCAAAAATCTACTGCTCTCTAATGTATAGTCTGGAAATAATAATCTTTATTGTTAAAAAGAAGTGACACTCTCTTTTGTAATTCATTCCAAGGAGAAAAAAAGACAATTTTATGCTGCATCAGCATGTATTTTCACATGTTGGAATAAAACATAAATGGGGACCCTATTCAATTTCTATCATCTCCATATGGTGGCTTCTGAAGCCAATTCCAACATATGAAAATCCATGCGGATGCAGCTTTAAGCATGTAGTTAAATTTAAGAATTTTGATGAAGTTCTTAGATATAAAAAGTGGAAACCACTATTCCTGATGATTTTTTTCTAGATAAAAAAGAATAGAATTTCAGTGATTATTCATAAAAACAAATCAAAACATACATTTATTCAACAAATAATAAAGATTTTTCATAAACAAAACTATCATGTATCAAGAACATCCTTCTTACCTTGCTTGGATGCAATTTTCATCATCTCAGAAACTCTCGTAACATATTCTAAGCATTTTGTAGGGTTAATTCGTTCATCACATGTACCTAGAATGTAATACATTTTACTGTGTTTAACCATGATACCAAATTCTCGCTTCCTAGCAATTAACGTATGTGAGTCTGCATAAACAACAAGATAATCTCTCTGGCCAAGGTGAAGTTTTGATTTCATTGCTTCTTGCGGATTTTCCATAAGTTTTGCGATTGTTTTTCCATTTTCAGGAGTAAACACCCAATTTTCTGTGGATGACCATATATCTCCTTCAGAAGAAAAGACAACTCCATTAACACAATAAGGATAAAGCAGCTGAATGTAATCCTTGAATGTTATTGTAAAGTTGATCTTCTGCATTTATTAATATGACACGTAAAATTCTTTGCCGTGTAAACAAAATTTGAAACCTTGTGAAAAAAAAACGACAAAAAAATCTGCTTATGAGCCAATATCGAAAGCAGCTTGAAGAATTCATTGCTGCTTCCCCACAGCTCATTACTCAGCTATCTGAGTTCGAATTCGGTGATACTATCGGTAAAGGTGGCTTTGGCGAAGTTAAAAGAGCAGTTGAAAAGAAAACAGGACGTGAATGTGCAGTTAAAACTATATTCACAGAACGACTAGAAGGAAATAAGTTACGTAGATATCTTGGAGAAGTCAAAACTATGTCACAATGCCACAATATGTTTTTGGTCCCTTTCGTTGGATTTACAGCAGAGCCTCCATATGCCATTATTACAGAGTATATGTCGAATGGATCTCTTGACCGTTTCGTCAGGAATCGTTCAGGCATGTCATTATCTGGAACTCAATTAACAGCCATTGCCATTGGAATAGCCAATGGTATGATACATCTTCACAAAATAGGAATCATACACAGAGACTTGAAGGCTGCTAATATCATGCTTGACTCAAGATTGTTCCCAAGAATCGGAGATTTTGGCATCGCAAGGTTCGGCGAAACCGACGGAGGGATGACAGCAAAAATAGGAACTCCAAACTACATGGCACCTGAACTCATCACTTCACACGATTATAACGAGAAAGTCGATGTTTATTCTTACGGAATGATTTTATATGAAATGACACAAAACGTAAGACCATTCAAAAACATGAAAATGGAAGAAATATTCGATTTAGTACTCAAGAAAGACAGAAGACCTACGTTTTACCTTGATTTACCCGATTCTTTGAAAGCATTAATAGAAGCTTGTTGGGCTACAAATCCAAACGATCGACCATCATTCGAAGAAATCTACAATGCATTTGTGAGAGGCGAAGTTGCGTTTGAACATACAAGAAGAAATGATATCGAAAAATTCATACAGACAATCAGCATTGAACAAAACCAAACAGATTCGAAATCATCAGAGAAATCAAAGAAGAGTTCATCTACGAAAACAAATCAAAATCCAGTCCAAGGAGATTCTTTTCAGAATTTCGAAGCAGAAACAGACTGGCATCCAGGAGATGGCAATAATAACGATGAGGAAGAGGAATATTACTATTACGAAGAAGAGGAAGAAGATGAATATTCTTCAGAAGAAAATGTCCCAGATAACTCATCTCCAGCTCAAATTTTATTAGATCCAAAGCATCCTATGTTTGTTAAAACCGTTGAAAGCGAAGCAAGTCAAACAAATTCGACAAATTTCTTCAAATTCTACAGACCAACCAGCCAATACTTAAAACGTAAAGTTCCACCAGCATCTCTCAAAGCTGTCATCAGAGCTTACCTTTCTTTAATGAAACGCGATAAAACACTTATTCCTTTGTTTAATCAAGCCCAATTCTTCGTAGTCGTACCAACAAACAATCCAGATATCATGCAAGATATCGTCGATTGTTTCCAATGCTTATTTTTGGATTATCCAAGATTCATTGGTCAGGCACATTTGGCTTCAATAACAGAATTACTGATAAAGAACCCTGACAAAATGCTTATATTGCATTCGTACTACGTAAAGAACCTCTTATCGCTTCCAAATCCATGGCCACTTCTCGATAATTTACTTACAGTTCAGAAAATCATGCTGAACAAGCCTTGTGGGTATCTATACTTAGCTTTATTCTCTTATCTGATTACGACTTACGAGCTATATGCTAAAGAAAGAGCTGTTCATGTCCGAATAATTTTCTTATCTTTCATTAACTCAAAAGTTGTGGAGAATGTTAAAGCAGCATATGATGGTATGTCAAAACTATACACAGATTATGCTGGAATCGACTTTACAAAGCTGAATCAACATTTAAATAACGAAAAGATTTGGAAATCGGCTTTAAGTCTTCTTCTAAGGATCGAAAATGTTCCAGCAACCAAAGAAATGATCACTAGTTTGATCAATTTAACAGATAAATCTCCAAAATCATGGATTGTTATTCTAAACATCGCTTCTACACCACCAGGTGAAGAGATATTAGTTTCTGATACAATCTGGATGGAGAAAGCCTCAAAACATCCCTTAGATGTAATGAGATTATTCCTTATCTTGTTTAAGAACAAGAACAACCGGCAAAATCTTGCATCATCACCAAGATTTGCCTCAATGATGAAGAATTTGATCACAAAGAAAGATAAAAGTGCACATACTGCCATTGCCACGGTAATTAGAAGACTCCAAACATCGCAAGAGTTCATTGACGAATTAGAAAAGTCAGGATTTCTCAAATCATACATAGAAAGTGCCGAAAAGTCGAAGAACCACAAATTAATCCGAAATGTCCTCAACATGTTCGATTATCTGGCCAGATCTGGGTACTCAGAAGACTATTTACTGCTTATTCTGATGCTCATCCAACAATTACAGCAAAAAGAAAACGTAACTGCTGCATTGACAGTTATTGTTACACTTTCATTCCATAAACAATGCGCTCAGAAGTTTGCAGAGCAAGATTTGAAGCAGTACTTCCAGGAACTTTCAAATTTCGAAGAATATCGATCTCTAGCAAATTCTTTCCTTGCTAACATTAATAAGATCGATTCATAATATGTATACATTTGTATATGTATTTGTTATATTATTATTTATTGTTTGAAATATAAAATTAGTTATTGATATTCTCTTTTTATTTTTGAATTGAAAATAATCGTTAAAATTTACAAAACATTAGGGAAAACCGCAACCACTTTTTTAATCACGATTTAAATATATAAATCGCGATTTTTTAGAAAAATCGCGACTTTTTTAAAATCGCGTTTTTTAATGAATTGCGATTTTATTGTGGTCGCGATTTTTCTAAAAAATCGCGATTTATATGGAAAATCGCGTTATTGGTTCAATCTAAAGATCATTATTTAAAAAGTGAACTAAAAAATATAAATATAAGAATAAAATAAAAATTGTAATAAGAATGTTATAAAAAGTTTTTTAGATTTGAGTTGCCGATAGGCTTGAGCAAATGTATTTTTATTGCTAAAGGTTTTTTTGTTAGATTTATGTAATATTTTTTTAGTTAAAGGTAAATTAAAAAAAAAAAAAAAAAAAAAAAAAAAAAAAAAAAAAAAGGTAGTGGGGCTTCCAGGCACTTCGTGCCTTCTAGCCCTGAGGATGAATGAGTATAAATGAAGTCTCAACAAAGTCTTTACGAAGAAGTCTCAACAAAGTCTTTACGAAGAAGTCTTGACAAAACATTTACAAAGAAGTCTTTACAAAGTCTTTACAAAGTCTTTACAAAGTCTTTACGAAGAACTTTACAAAACATAGACAAGAAAGTCTTTACGAAGAAGTCTTGACAAAGTCTTTACAAAACATAGACAAGAAAGTTCATGAGAAATTAGATGAAGAAGTCTCAACAAAACATAGACAATGAGCGTAAATGACCCAAAAATATATTTTAGGGTAGAAGGGTATATCTACCCTCTTTTCTACCCTCTTTTCTACCCTCTTGAATTTTCATGAACTTTCTTTACAAAGTCTTTACGAAGAAGTCTTGACAAAGTCTTTACAAAACATAGACAAGAAAGTTCATGAGAAATTAGATGAAGAAGTCTCAACAAAACATAGACAATGAGCGTAAATGACCCAAAAATATATTTTAGGGTAGAAGGGTATATCTACCCTCTTTTCTACCCTCTTTTCTACCCTCTTGAATTTTCATGAACTTTCTTTACAAAGTCTTTACGAAGAAGTCTCAACAAAGTCTTTACGAAGAAGTCTCAACAAAGTCTTTACGAAGAAGTCTCAACAAAGTCTTTACGAAGAAGTCTTGACAAAGTCTTTACGAAGAAATTCATGAAAATTCAAGAGGGTAGAAAAGAGGGTAGAAAACGGGGTAGATATACCCTTCTACCCTAAAATATATTTTTGGGTCATTTACACTCATTTACGAAGAAATCTCAACAAAGTCTTTACGAAGAAGTCACAATAAAACATCTGTCAAAAACCGCTTTTTAACTTCACTTAAAATGCCACGTAAGCTACGTAAGAATATACGTAAGAGGAAGAGAGCATTGAAACATCCAATAGTAAAACTGACACCACAACAACAGTTGCAACAACAAATGCTGAATGACCCCACTATGTTGCAACAAATGTCAAGCAATCCTATGCTTTTAAACCGAGTTGTTGGTGCACAGAGTGGAGGTTTAAGAGCGGCACTTTTAGCGAAAATGGCAGGCTATGGTGGAGCTGCAGACGGAACAGCTTATAACCCTCAAAGTCAAATGAATTTGAGTTCACTCAAAAATCAAATAGCAGATGTCAAAAAGTCAAACATAGACATACAGAAACAAATAGGTGAAAACGAAAAAGAAACTAGAATATGACAGACACACAAAGAAACTCAATGAGTTAAACGTAGAGAAAAAGAAGAAAGAAGAACAACTGAAAGAACTAAGTACAGAGGAATATGCGAAAAAAGTGTCAGAAAAAGCAGCAGAAGTAGCAAAAATGGAACAAGATGTCATAAATTTGAAAAACCATACTACTCGATATAAAGTACTGAAAGATGAAGAAATAAAACAAAAAGCCCTGAAGACATATATGGATAGCGATGAGTATAAAAAAGAAGTTGAAGCAAATGTAAAGGCAGAAAAACTTTTACAGTTGCAAAACCAAACCGTACAGTATGAAAACTTAGCACAAGAAAGTAAAAATAACGACGCAGCCATGCAAAAGGCAATGAAAAGCGCAGAATATATAAAAGCTAATAATGACTGGTTAGATGCCCAAGCCAACGCTAAAGCAGCCCAACTTATAGGGTCAATAAGGACAAAAATACAAGCGGATGAAGACAGTTCAAATGAAGCTTTAATGAATGCTGACTTTAAGAACGCCTTCGAAGCTCTTCATAGTAAGGTGAAACTAGTGAACGACTTCTCATCTGGAAAGAAACTGAAGTCTGAAGGTTTCGACAAAGAGTTAAAAGAAGTAGCACAAAATATGACGAAAATAACAGATGCAGCAACGAGACAGGCAGTTCAAAGTGCCTATGACGCCGTTAGAGCAACTGTTGTGAAAAGTCAAGAAAAAGAGTTACAACAGACCAAAACAGACCTAGTAAATGCTTTCTTAAGAACGAAAAGTCAGGTAGGACATTATGCTGCAGATGGAACATATGTGCCAGCTGGTGGAACTTATATACCACCAAACCCTCCAAGAGAAGCACCTGCACCAGGACTACCTAGAACATTTACATCGTCACATGGACATAGACACAGGCATGCACCAAAACCAACACAACAACCAACAGTTCAAAACCCTGCACAACAACCAACAGTTCAAAATCCAGCACAACAACAACAACCAGCACAGCAACCACCTCCACAACCAGCACAACAACCACAAACAGAGCAAGGACATAAAAGAAGTAGAGAACAAGGAAACCAAGAATTCTTAAAAATGCTTAAAGAAGAGTGTGGTTTCGCAGATACTGTTGACTTTAGTGACAGATATAAAGAAGCTATTAGAAAGTTCAAGGATGGAAATACTGACCCGAACCTATTTAGCTTTATGACTCAGCACCAAATGGGATATAATTTCAAACCTGGAAAATACAAGCTCGCTAAGGGATATGATTTAATAGCATATCATCCAAATGACATGAACGAATTTACTCCGAGATATTTGATGTCAGAGCTAAATGACAATACAACTTTCGTCATGAAACGCGTAAAAAATAGAGACGGAACGAAAGAACAAAAGCTTATGAATGCGGATGACGTAGATAGGGAAATTGTTGAAAACGGTCTCGGAATATATGAAATGCCAGCAGATGAGGTACAAGAAACTCCACAGGAAGAACTAGTTCAGATACAACCAGACATGGAAGAAATAGTTCAGCAACAACAGCTAGAAGAGCCTGAAGGAAACGAACAAGTCACTCCTTTGGAAACTAACTTCACAGAACTAGATGAAGATTTGGAACAGCCGAAAAATCTTGACCCTCAACAAGAGTATGCGGAGAATATGGAATATTTCCAAGAGTCTAAGAAAGATTCGGCTGACATAGTAGAAGAATATCGAAAAATGTTTGCCGACATACAAAAGACTCCAACACCAGATGAAAATATTCAGCATAGAATGGAAGAACTGAAAAAAAATGTACACAAATACAACAACCCTTTTTACTTACGAGCATTTAACGTTCAATCTTCGGATGAACTCGGTGAAGATAAAAGGTTAAATTTCAAGAAAACATATAGAAATGAAACATTGTTTAAAGTTCATTCAGAACCTAGCCAATATGGAAACAAACCTACTTTTGTTTCTGCAGACGATGGAACTACAATGAGATGGGGTCATAAAGCTAATTCGGATAGGTGGTTCATAAACTTACAACCTCAATTCCAAGAAGTTGTAGACGCAATGGAAGCGAATGGTGAACGAGATATAGCTGGTATTTTCAGCGCGGCTTTAATGCCATTGAAAGATATGAAAGATGCAGATATTTTGGACCAGTATGAAATGAACATGGCTGATGGAAATATAACACCTGACGTTCTAGAACATTTATCTCAAAGAACTACACAGAACCATAGAGATGGTATATTTGGTGAAGAGTTTAGAAAGAAAGTTAGGGAGAGAGAAGGAAGAGAACCTATTGTACATGACCTTGCAAACGAAAGTTTACAAAATGTCATAAAAACTTACTTTGCAGACAATGAACCGAGAAGGGATGAATATTTAAGAAAACTCAAATGGACAGTACCAAATGAAATGTTAGTATTGAAAAACATGTTCCTTGACAAAATAAAACCAACTACAGAAATAAATGACGAAAGACTGAAAGATTGGGTAAAAGCTTTCCCATTCACAAAAGATATTGTTGGTAACATGGAAAGAAAACCAGAATGGCTACAAAAACATATATTTGGAAACGAGCTTATTCCATATGGACAGGCACTGTTTGAAGAGCTTGAACCTGAAACTCAGGAAAGAGTCATGCAAACAATACGCGAAGACTCAAATACAGACTATGACAAACTCTTTCTAGGATATAGGTTACCTGAGATGGGCGACCAGAGCCAAAAGGCAAAAAGGACATGGGAAATTTGCAACATACTAGATGAACATAATGCAAAGATGCAACAACTTCAAGCAGAGGGCAATGAAGGAAAAAGAAGAGTTAAAAACTCAGTCAGGAAGAAAGTAAAGCTTGGTCGGAGTGGGTTCTATTATGACATATAAATCCAACTATTCTATATTTTTACTCATATGAAATGTACGCCGCTCAGAATATAACGCCAACAGTTTTGGATGCCATGAACGGAAATGTTTCCGAATGGTATAACGAATGCGACAATGCCATTAGAAGGTCAGAAATAGTTCCTGGAACTTACGAATATACAACTGCTGTTTCTTATGGAAACGTAGGTGAGTTTGGAGAAGGTTCTTCAACAACAGTAGATATTGCTTGCGACAGGTTTCATATAATTTCTATTGACAACTCTTTCTTATACGTGGAACAAGACATTGAAATAAAACCTTCTGCCAAGTTGTCTGACAAGAAAGGTTGCAATGGAATTTTCTATGTCGGATACCAATATGCTCCAGAAGTTTTCATGGGATATAAGATATATTCTAACTCTGACTTAGTTCAAACCAGTAACATGGGCAAACTATGAATGGTTCGCTTTGAGAAACTCAGTACAACCACAAGCTAGAGAACAAACAGACCAGTATGCAACTATTGAGAAAATAAGAAGACTTGACCCTAACGTTCCAGGAGTTTATGTTAACCTTTCTGGACAAACTGCAGCAGCAGTAACCAAAGTAAAACTGAAACTTAGAGTTCCTTTGTCATCTTTCCTCATCTTCAGGTTTTTAAGATACTTGCCAAACTGGGCAGGAAAAATTTCTATCGAACTTACTCCAAGCAAAAATAACTTAGTCATTGCACCAACACAAGACCCATTCACTCTTACAGAAGTAGTGGGAACAAATAAAATGTCATTCGCCGACTTTTGCAAAAACAAAGTTGACTTAGACTTTGGTTTCTCAAACCTCAACACTGAAGTAAACTATTATTTCAATGCTGCTGGAGATGCTTGGGACCCAGTTAAGTTCACATGCGAAAAATTTGAATGCAAGAGAATAGAAAGCAGACTTGCAGTCTATATGTTGGACCCAGATATTTCAAATGCTTTAGCTGCCAAATATATTGCAGTTCCACTTATGTTCCCTATACACCAAATATCTGTCAAAGACTTTGCAGGTGAAGTTGGAAACCAAAGTGCTGACCCAGGTGCAAGAACAGATATTGCTTTAACAACTGCAATGAAACATGCAGATACTATGTTTGTACTGTTCAGACGAACTATAAATGACTATTCTTGCTTCTACAACCCTGGTATTAAATACCATATAAACATAGATGGCAAATACTATCCAAGAGAAGAATATTCTACAGTTGAGGATATGAGGTCATACAACTTGACATTAGATGCTATGAACTTTAACAACAACTTCACAACAACTATTAACCCTGAAATGCAAAGTTCTATTATGCCATATGTGAAAGTATGGACTCATACAGGAGGTCAAAAAACTCAATATACAAATGGAGACCGTTCAAACTTTTGGCTTGGCATTCCATTTGCTGACTCAGAAGACTTTATGGGTGGTATTTCAACTGTTGGTACAGTTCAAATACAATATACTGGTGACAGAGACGGTCCAGATGAATTGAAAGCAAAGAAGTTTACAAAACCAATAGCACTTTTCACGGAAGATGCTCTTTTGAAGATTCGTTCGATGAAACCTGCTGGGGCTCCTCAGATTGGCATAACGACAGCTTCCATCGAGCAGATTTTGGCAGCAGGTCAGTAAGTTGTTCTTGAACTGACTTCTCTCCGTCAAATATTGACAGTACGCCAGTTTTGACATAGTATTGTATTATAAACTTACCTTTAGAAATATCGGTCAGTTTTGTTGTTATATTTTTGTCTGCTTCAAGAACTTTCACCATTTCAGTTATACCAACTTTCTTTGCTTTATGAAAATATTTTGGTTCAGCAAAGACTGCTATTCTATAACATTTTCCATTGTTTGTATAAAGAACTATTCTGTCAATGTATTTGTATTGTTTGTGTGTGTAAACTTTGTTCTGCTTCAATTCGAAGAGATACTCAAATACGTCCATCTTTTTATTCTAAGTAAAATGTCATTTCCGAAAAATAGAAGCGTGAGTGTTTCAAAAGGTTTAATGGCGGTGGCAGACGTAAAGTTAAATTCACCAACTCAAACAAACAGTCAAAGTGTTGTTGTCAATGTCAAAGAAAGAGATGTTGAAGTGGGGAAACCATACGAAGACGAAGATGGTATAACAATAGTTCCTGTAAAAGAACAACCAACATACCCTGAAGTTAGCAGAGACTTAAGTTCTGTTGCAGATATTCGAAACGACTACCAACAACTTAAAGACAAACTTAAAACTCAGGAGAAGATTTGTCAAGCTTTGGGTATAATGTTAAACTTGGTCGAACACAACCCTGTAAAAGTGAACTCATATGTCATCGCACCTCATGAAGTTTTGAAAGAACTATTGAAACTTTTGACAGAGGCAGACGATATAAACATCAAAGAAATAGAACCCGACATTGCTTGCTGTGGTGTTTCATATAATGTCATTGACAAGATATACGTTATGAAAGGAGGTGAAACGTTGAACTTAAAATATAGTTTCCCAGACGTCATAAAAATATTTGACGACCACAACATTTCATTAAAATTTAGTTGCTAAGTAAATGGCAGAAGACATAGTGGTTTATACTATTACGACTAAAAACCCTGAGTCATATAATTCTATAACAACAAACTTACAAAGTCCTCAAGGACGATATTGTAAACTAACCTTAAACACAATGACGACTAAAGCCTGTTTTGCTCTTTTGACACCAGAAGACTTTGTTGTTGTGAATGGTAAAAAATACTTCTTTGAAGATACTTACTCAGATATACCACCAACAGGTTTTGTTGACTTATTTAATACTTTAAGGACGGATGTAACATGTGCTGCAACTAGAGCAGGTTTCATTATGTTTGGATGTCCGACTGAGTTTAGTATAAACGATATGAGCTATAATACAAAACTTATATCTGGTTTTTACTACCAACAGTTTCCTATAACAGGAAAAGGTGTCATACAAGGTTTGTCTGTTCCATTGACTTTAAGTACACCTATTTTATATATTGTTTCAAACTTAGGTTCAAAGTGCTATTCGAATGTCGACAGAAACTACTATGACCAAAAGATACTCATGCGTATAAACAACACTTTCTCTGCTGGTTTGCCTATTGTTCATTCGAATGCAGAGTTTTCAGCTTTAGTAAACTCAAACACTTTAGCAAACATAAACTTAACCTTAGTTGACGCAAACTTTGTTCCTGTAAAACTTTTATGTCCTATGTATTTGTCAATGACGGCAGAAAGTTTCGAATTGGAAGATGCAACTGGTGAAAGTATTGTACTACAAGAACAACTTCAACAACAAATAGCTCAAGAACAACAAATGCAACAAATGCAACAAATGGAACAAATGCAACAACAAAGTCAAGAATAAAAAAAATATTTTTTTTTATTTTTATAAAAATGTACAGAATAGACGTTTCAGATTTTTATGACTTCCAAGCGTTCAGAAATATGTGTCCATTTAGAGACTATAACAAAGCAGTCGAGAATTTGAAACGTTTAGTCATTTATGTTGACTCTGCCCCAGAATGTTATGTCATGAAAGAATGGGATGTTGTCTTTAACAAACCAAGAGCAACAATAGTTTCAGAACAAGAATGTAGACAGAAACTTAAGAAAATAAAAGTCGTACAAGTTGGTATGAAGATGTTAGATGCTTGGGATATCTTATTGTCAAAGTTAGAAGATTTTTCAGTTCGTGGTATAAAGTTCTATACACCATCTCCAAACTTCTATTCTATCTTCACTGGATATAAATACGAACAAGTAGAATGGAAAGAAAATGTTATAGAAGCTTGGTTAGACATGTCAAAGAAATTATATGCAATGGAAACGAAAGAGTCTATGAGTATATCTTATGTTGGTTTGCAAACATCTTACAACATCCAAGTGCTAAAAATGAAACTGCTCTCATCATAATTGGAAAAAAGGAACAGGTAAGAACACTTTCTTTACAGATATCTTATGCAAACTGTTAGAGGGCTATTCGAACCCGAATATGACAAACTTAGAAAACATCTGCGGTAAATTTAACTCTTCAATAGAGAATATGAAACTTATAGTATGTAACGAACTTCAAAGTATAGATACAACAAAGGTTTTAAACTCAGATGCTTTGAAGAGTCTTATAACAGACAAAGTTGGAGTTGTTGAAAGAAAGTATAGAGACCAAAGAGTTTGTGAAAATGTTGCAAACTTCGTCATGGTTTCAAACAATGTTGTTCCGATGAAGTTAGAAAGTTCTGACAGAAGATATGTAGTTGTCAGAACGTCAGATTCTCATATGCAAGATACAGAATATTTTGACGACTTAGCAGAAACTTTGACACCTAACTTTTACAACCACTTGTTCTCATATTTCATGACATTAGATATTTCAAAGTTCAATCCAAGACAAATTCCACATACCGAAGAAAGACAAACATTGTTAGAAGCAAACAAGAGTGTATATGAACTGTTCATAGATGAGACTAACTTTGAGTGTTTAGATGAAAGGTCATTGTACGATTCATATAAACAATATTGTCAAGAGTATGGTTATATGGCAGCTTCTAAACGTACATTCTTGGCAAA